GCACACCTTAATTCTTAAATTGTACGTAGCGTTTTTTTAACAGAACTTTTGCCATTATTTTTCCTCGGAACTCAGGTTTTTTCAACTTAAAACAAACTCTCAATTCGCGCTCTAATGGCTAAACAGACACCCAAAACAAAGGAAGTAAAAATGCAATCGAAATGAATGAGTTGGTCTCATTTTTTTCCTGTGTTCAAGAGAGACCGACAGTGCCCAAGGGACGCTATAATAAACCTATTCTATTCAATTCTAACCCACTAAAGTTAAATTAAAAATAAACCGCAAACTATTAGGGTAATGTGACAGAGATATCGAAACAGTGGGTGACGCAGAGAGCACGGTTATCAAAATTTGCACAATACAGAGTGAAAACGGAGTCTGTATTTGCGCCGTACTACAGGCTAATAATGAGTGAGAACTCCAATCTCCAGATTTTTCACATTTACTTACTAGATGTCTTTGAGCACAAGCACTGAGATACCGATGTGACAATTTCTGGCGTGACCGCATAAGCCTTTTTCCAAAGCCAGCAGCATAGGTACAATAATATACTTGCGGGAAATGCTCGGCCAGATAGCATGCACCGGGTCAGCGGACCTCTGGAAATAGATCTTGACTAAGACCGATTTGAATAGTGTTGTTAGCGCGTCACCATAATCATCCATACGAAGGGAAGAAGAACAGGAATTAGGCATACACAAAGGTATAATAAGAAGACGTGGAAGCTGTGGAAAACGACAATAATTGGCTGTAAAAGTGGTATGAGTTTCAATAGAGGGGTGACCCGTCTGGGTTATGAAGTGAGTTTTACATGCCTGATAAATAACCGGCGGAGAACACAGCGCTGTATGCAAATGCGGGAAAGGGCCGGGGGAAGTGCCGATTCAGATATAGCTAGAGAAGAGCGTCATAATACATCACTGGAAAGGGCTTGACGATAGAAAGGGAAGGGTGCCGGTCATTTTTACCGACAAGCAGTTACACAATCACCATCTCAGATCCGTGGGGGTATATCTCTTCATCCAAAAAACTCTATACAGTTCGTTGGGCGTTGCGTTATAAGCAAAAAATCTCATCTAGCCTTCATTGAAATTCTCGAGTTTACTTCAATAAAAACAATTGCTGCGCTGAACAGAGTCGCATACAGCGGTATATTTGCAGGAGGAACACGCAAGGATCGGCGATTGGGTTGCCTGATTACTACGCTTAAACCGGGACTTTTGTCAAACATGGAAAACTCACGAGGAGACGTGATGGAGTTGGTACAGTGACAGCAGGGAATAGTATCAGAGAGCAAATAATCTGTTCAACACGAAACAGTCGGATTAGGCAGACCGCGCGCAGAAACCCCCGAAGTCGAAACTAGTTCCATTGCCGTGTCGTTGTTAATACCCGGAAAATCCATTCCGGAGGCTCTTTCTCGATTATGCCATCATTACTATGATACCGACCATAAACTGGCAGTCTAAATCACTTCGAAGACTAGCAATTGTTTGTACGCGTAGTCAGCTGTTGCACCAGTGCGCTGTTTAAACACTGTCCGCTTTCTTTTTCCAGGGCAGTTTTTGGAGAATCTTCCGGGATTCGTCTGATTGAAAAAGAATGAATTCAACCCATTTTGCATTTGCCGTCCCGAAAGTCAACGATAGCTGCACCAATGGAGACGCCCTAATATCAGAAAAGTCGAACGGATTACCTCCAAAACCGTTAAGTGCGCGGGATGTGGAGATGGTCAGACTCATAGGGCAGTATTTGTGTGATAAAGGATATAGGTTTTTCATATTCACTTTTACCTAAAAGTTCGATTCAGTTCCTCTTATATCCAGCTGGCGAAAGATTCGGGCATTACTTTAGAGCCGCAGGCGGCGACTGATTTACGATCAGCCATTCTTGCAGGAAAATGGGAGGATGTAAGTTAAATTATTTAAACTTCCTGCGCTTTGCTTCTGAAAGTCAACGTTTAAAAATGTTTGTCTAGAAAGCCCGTACATATCCTAATTCAACACGCATTACGTATTTATTGTGCACCGGAGCCTGGTCTTGTCGACTTGTTTATTCGACAGGGCACTTTTAAAAGCTGGATATTTCACTCTGCAACTTAGGATTTTGCCATGCCTCTTTCGCTTAACCCACTCGCTAAGAAAGGTAGGATGTTCGGGTGCAGTTTGCCCCTCAAAATATCAGACCCCTGAGAAGTTATTATTTCTCACCGCCTTCTTTTAACATTTGTTGACAATAAATTCATACGAATATATCCACTGGCAATGTCCAAACTGCAAGTCTTTTGTCTGTGACCCGAGGTTTTACTTCGACTCTTAACTGCAGCACCTGTATTTGTTTGCCGTCTGCCTGTTCGACAAGCCTCCCTCTTGTTCAGTCTATATCACTTGTCGATCATGCGATTGCGGTCCCTAAGTTGCCCTGCTGCAGTGCAACACTGCAGGTTTCAAGGCCGCCAGCGCCACCCTTATTCAGTATGCGTGTGCAGAAGTAATCGTATTTGTGCCATTACTTATCCAGACTAAGTGTTCATAATCAAGGGTATTTTAAATAACTGAAGATGCGGTCGCAGAAACAAGAAGTTTATTTGCTTGACGTTTCGGATTTTCTCTCGAGCTCACCATCAGATACAATCACAGAAAAGGGTAGCAAAGGCACAAAAGTGCGGTATTTGTAAGACACATCTGCCCAACAACAACATTCCCACATATTTAACAACACTCGTGTTCATGGCTGAAGATCGTATTTGTGCGATGATTGCTTGCCGGTTTGTACCCGAATTGTTAATTTCCGTGATCTTATCACCGTTGTCGATTCTTCGCGTAACGATTGCTCGACAATTTGACTTCCTGTCACCGGAACTGTTGACCGCCTGCCCCCGTCTCCGCGTAACTAGTTATTTTTGCCGAGGCAAAATCGCAGCACAGAATGTGGAGGTGGAAGGTCATTGCGCTTGTTAATTGAATGCGAGACGGTGAACCATGATTAAAGTAGCTCGCGGCTCACGTGGCTGTCACCCCTTGCAAGAATTTCGGCTTCGCCAAACTTGAAGGTGTGACAAGGACCCGTCGAATGAGACACGATCTGGGAGCTGACGTCATTCCCCATTATTATTATTATTATTATTATTATTATTATTACAACATGTGTGATCACTCATTCCCCTATACTTCGTCAGCTTGGGTTTTAGTATTTGTCGTAACTGCGCAGGCGCCTATCGCAAATTCTGGTGTGATCATCTTCGTCGTATAAGAGTTTTTCTGCAGACCTTTCATCTGTCTTCGCCTTTATCTGGGACAGGATGCAGCATTCCTTCAAGGGAGCTCACCAACAGTGCAAAAACGTCGGTAAAATCGAGATCCGTAATGAGAGGATCACAACCTATAATATCATCACAATGGTCTGCCAGCATGTGCTGAAGAATCCGGTCCACCATGGGGGTGAACAGCGGTAGTGTGGAGACAATATTAACGGACTTAAAGGTAGCATCATAAACATCACCCCTCACCATCCATTTCTCAGCCTGTCCTGTAGTATAAGACTTAAACTTATCGAACTATGTCGGATGGCATGCCGCCATTTGTCATGGTCGATCACAGGTACTGTCGATGTAGGGGAACCACCCACGAAATAGACCATAGTAGGCTGTTGGTAGCAGTGGCGCTGCTTGGCTTTCTGACAAAACTAAACAGGCTAGCCAATACCTTCCCACCAGTATCAGGAGGTTCACATACTCTTACTTATGCGGGCGTCGTGGTACGACCAAAACCATCTGGAGGTACGAGGACCTTGTGTTGATGTCCGGGATACTTGTCACGATAGTTTTTATGCGTTTACGTGACACAGCATTGTTGTTTTGCAAATAAGTCGACGTTAAACGTCACGGCCGACTAATCAGATCCGTGCGCATTAGTGCTTTCGCTCACAAGCACGCGTTTAGCCAACACAGCATTTGCACTGTTATAACTGCAAACTAGTGTCCTTGTGTGCCTTCCCACCTTAGGCCGAAAAAGCTGTCAAAGAACTAGCACCAATAATCGATAATCCAGCCAATCTAGCAGAAATCCACTTTCTTCTGCTGGAACAACAATTCCTCGAGTTGGCTGAAGCTGATGATGCAATGGCAGCCTTAATGCTCCTCCGCGGCCGAATTACCCCGCTGCAGAGAAACGCTGAAAGGCTCGCTGTCCTAACACGGTAAGAACCATATTAAATTCCGTTACTTTATATGCATGTGAGTTATTTAAGGGTGAACTAACCGAATGGGAAAAGTCATCATTATCTGGCATGCTCTCACCATGTTGCATTTTGCTTGACACGTAGATCTTCATTGACAGCCGAGAGTTTGAATCGGACCGCCGTTTCAACATGGTCTGCGTCACCCCAACCCTCTGACCGTGACAATAATGTACTACCATCGTTGCTGTAGCGTGAAATCTCCGCCGGATACGCGTCGCACTCATGTACGGCACCAGTTACGTGCTCGTAGACTTGACGTAGTTCGACTACCAAGGGCCTTGAGTCAGTGTAGTCCCGCTTTGGTCGTGCTCACCATACTCCCCACATCTCCCCGTTCCCTGAGTTGATCATCACGACAGTTATGGCATCGACATAGCACGGGAGCCAAGAACCATCACGTCACCCCCGAAAATACCCTTGTGCCGACGGCACATGCGGCTAGACCGCCTTTGATGGCACCCTGCTGTCGTCAACCAGAGATATCGGCTTTATGTGGACCAACACATTCCAGATACGTCTAGTCGAGGTCGCGGTGTGCGTCGAAGGCATGAGCTATCGTATTGTTTGTTATTGCAGATTAGCGGAAAGAAAATTCCATCCTTTGCAGACGTAAGCGAAGTGTCCTTGACTGCATTTCTGTACTTTCTTGCTTTTTCCATCTATTAGGTGATCGTGCGAAATTTCAGCTGCTTCCGCCACCTCTTGTCTCACATAAGCCTTACACACTTTTTTCCAGGTGTCTTATGTGCCGAACCCCAGAGGAGGTGCGTGCAGAGGCGGGCGGTTGGAGCGGGGCGCACGGTGGCAGTCGATCAGCACTTGTGAACAACATTCAGCGTTATGTGCCTGCCCAGACCATGCTTCCACCGACACGACTGGAGACCTTGGTCACAGAGGCCGTTCGCGCCCAACTCAATGCTTGCACCTTCCACAATCAGCCCATAGCCTGGCCTGACGCCCTAAACTCAATCTCTCTTCTCCAACCCCACTCTTGTAGCATGTAAGTGCCTGAGTAGGATTCAGGCAGTTACCATTTAAACTGTTCAATGTTGATTTTGCTGACAAATTTGGGGGACTGAAGGCGAACTCGTCTCGGCACGTGCTGAATGCGAGTGCCTTTAAAGGTGTCTAGATCTTTAATATGTTCCACCCTCTGTCCGTCTCCGTCCTGATATAGTTTTCCTCACATTTGAAATTTCCTCTGACTCAACACACATCTTTCTCGCTTGGAAAGCCTGATTTTGCGTATCAGCAAAATGCCTAACCATGTAACAGGAAATTGTTTGCCGCGAAACGTCCAACCACTTTGGAGGCGAACATAACCGCGGGAGTTCGGTCACGAGGACATCCGAATGAGAAAAAGTGGAGGTCCGCCGCTCAATTACGCCTCACAGCAGGCTTTTTATGGTTTCACTATTTTTCTGATTCCCTTCAATTTGTTACATGCTATTAACCAACGACATGCCCGATCAATTTACACGGAGTTTTCACTAGTGTTACGAACTCAAACATTCGGTCATAATCTGGACATATGTGCTTCTTCCCAGTAACCTATTTCAATCTCGGGCGGCTTAGCTATTGACAACGCTTTCACCGTCCGTTTGTCTATCTGAATCGTAGAGTTTCCTAAACAAAAAACTGTTTAGGTATAATATACCCAGCGACTCGTGTACAAGCGTTCTACACTTATCAATTTGCCGGTTGTCTGGTTTAAATTGAATCATCTTGACGGATGCGACTTAAGCCAGTATGACTGCCGCGCTCTCCAGTGGCGATGTTTCTCACCACCAAAATAACTAGGTCGTACGTACATATGATGGTAATTATAATGAACGGCAATGGACAGGCGTTGTGAATAATAAGACTAGTGATAATTAGGGGAAGATATCGCCACATAAGCTTATAAAAAAGCAGTCAACCAGGTTGTAAAGTTAAGGCAATCCACATAGTATGGGAAGACGGGTTGCCCGTTAGCCCAGCTGCTGGCTACCCGGCGCGTTCACAGGTGGCGGATAGTGGGACGACCTTCAGTGATGGTTATCTGCGAAATAAGCAGTCCCACGTCGGACAAATAAGCAGTCGCGAACAAGCAGCGACGTTGCTACCAGGGTGCAGTGGGCCGAGGTCTGGCACACTGAGAGCCTTATAAAAAAGCCGCAAAGCCCGATGACGGCATTGTGACATGGCGACGGTAAACCGTCATTAAATAAGTTGGCTTGTCACCGCTGCCTTGTGGTTAGGCTTTTAAGCCAAAGCACTAGAGGAGGCAACCTCGAGCAAACAATCCAAGCGGCGGTTGGGTCCCGCCTGTATTCGAAATTCCCAAGAAACCGCATGAAATATGTCCGACCACAGTATTACGACCCATGCTACGGCGTCCGCGGGAACCGACGCGCTCCGCAATCCTGGTCCAGCGGTGCGGGCGAATAGTATGCGAGCTGGACTACTCAATCGGGGACGGACTCTTGGTATTGGGTGCTAGGATGTGCGAACGTTCCTAGACCCAGGTACCCAAAGTCTGACCGCGCGCAGCCTTGATCAGTACAACGTGGATGTCTGCTCTGTCTGTCAGAGGTTCGACTCCCTGACTCATGCTCCCGCGAAATAAAGATCCCTGGGGTCGAATCACACTTTAATCTGTACCACTGCGCCCCGCGCGACTATTCTGGTCGACGCGATGTGTCGATCGCCATATCGCAACAAGCGGACCTCGCGCTACTTACTTGGGAACCAGTCAATGACCGGATGGCTTACGGGCGCACTTCGCGAACATCTCAATCGTTTCTGCGTAGGCACCAACTTCGGCTGCCAAACAGTGCGATAAATAGGCGTTTTACTCTCAGTTGCAAGCCTTAATTGGACGACTCCCTCGCCGCGATATACTGATTGTCGCCGGGGATTGGAATGGTCGAACTGGACTTGGCGACCCCACAACTAGTCATCTTCTTGGCCTCTTTGGACTTGCTTCCCCATGTGAAAATGTTGAGAGACTTCTGAACTTCGCTGATCGAAACCGACTGCTTGTCACCAACACTTGTTTCCAGCGTCGGAAAAAACATTGCTGACCTAGTACTCAAACGACGGCCAAACGGCCAGTCAGATTGATTACACACTAGTCAACTCAAGGTTCCGCAGCTGGGTTCACGATAGCAGATCGATGCGTGGTGCCGAGACTGGTAACGCCCCTGGGTCTGACCATGTCCTCGTTCGTACACGCTTGGAAGTTCACCTCTCATCCGCGCCAAAATTTCCACGTCCTACACGCCTTGATGTCGCGAAAATCCGGCAAACCAGCACTGCTGAGGCCCTGAGCTGAGAAATCCAGACCTGTTTTACGACCCGAGCCGACGGAGAAGGCAGTAACCAATGGTCGTCACTGAAGACATCAGTCTATGGGGCAGCTGAGAAAATCCTTGCATACACCCAGCGACGCCGCAGTGACTGAATCAGCGGAAGAACCCTGCAGTTGTCTGCTCAGACGGCTAGGGCCAGGTCCCGCAACGATGACTACTTCCGCCAACTTCGGAAGATGACGGCAAAATTGGCCAGGGATGACCAGCAGCAATATTGGGCTGAACTAGCGACCTCCATGGAATAGGTCTCGAACGTTGGTGACATTCGAAAACTCGACCAACTGCTCCGCCAAGTTAACGGTAAGCCCTATACACCCAGTGACTCTGTTCGCGACGTGAATGGCGGTTTTATTGTTGGCAACTCGGCCAATGTCGAGCGCTGGCATGAGCACTTCGAGCACCATCTCAACTTCAATACCCAACCCACTACGCCCTTGCTCTCCTCTTCAGCGGAGTTTCTCCCCTCTCCCACTTAAGCAGTGCCATGCAATTTCCCCTCTGACGGAGTAGTCGTCGATGCCATACGAAAGCTAAGCAACAATAAGGCACCCTGAGAGGACGGTATACCCGCTGAAATCTACAAGTCTTTTGTCGACACTGGCGCCCTGGATCCATGAGGTGATTGAACGAGCGTGAAGAGACGAGGTTGTTCTTGATGACTGGGACTTAGGCACCCTTGTAAGTATCCTCAAGAAGGGAGCTAAGATAAGATGCGAGAACTACCGCGGCATAAGCCTCATGGACGTTGCTGCGAATATCTTCGCTATTGTCCTACGCAGGCGATTCCAGGCTGTGCGTGACTCAAGGACGAGGCCCAACCAAGCCGGATTTCGTGCTGGACGTGGATTCGCAGACCAGATATTCACATTGAGGCGCATTATCGAATTTCGCCATAACCACCGACGGCCGTCTGCTTCATTGACTTTGCCGCCGCGTTCGATTGCGTGCATCGTAAGTCCCTGTGGCGGGTAATGGCACTAGGTGGTGCACCGGAAAAAATCCTCGTCATGATCAAGGCCTATTATCGCTCCACTATTGCGAGAGTCCTGGTCCGCAACAATCTTATCCAACCGTTCAGTATTCGGTCTGGCGTTGGACAATGTTGTATCCTGTCGCCCATTCTGTTCAACCACACTATTGATTGGATTCTCGGGAAGGCCGTACACGAAGGTGACGGTGTTGAGTTTGCACCCGGACACTGACTGACTGATCTCGACTATGCCGATGATATCGCCTTACTTGCTTCAACTTTTGGTGATCTGCAGTCTGTGGTGCCACGGGTGAAGGAGGTCGCTAAATCAGTCGGTTTATCCATAAGCGCTGTGAAGACTAAAGTGTTTTCAAGCTTCATCCCTGACCAGGAGAAGGCACCCCTCCGGATTGATGGCTGTCAACTTGAAGAAGTAGGCGGTTTTAAATACCTCGGAGCGAGACTGCTGCCTAATGCACAGGGTAAGGATGACATTGTCTCATGAATTGATGATACCCGCTGGGTTTTCTCAAGCCTTCGAAAGTGCCTATGGATCCGACGCGACCTCTCCATCGCCACTAAGATTCGGGTGCACCGTATATCTGTCCGGTCTGTCCATCTCTACGGTTGTGAATGCTGGGCTGTGCGCGTAGAGGACGAGCGAAAACTGGAGGTATTTGATCACCACTACTTGAGGACCTTCCTTCGAGTGAAGTTCACCGACTTCGTCTCAAATGAGACAGTCCGCGCTCGCTGTGACAACATAGCAAGGATAACCCAGGCCATTCAAGAAAGACGACTGAAATGATTTGGACATGTTCTTCGTCGTCCACCCCAGGAGCTCAATGTTGCTGCGGTCGATCCGGCCTCGTTGCCTCTTTGGAGGCGCCGAAAAGGGAGTCAGCTCAAAACCTGGCTCGCTACAGTTCTTGGACCTTCGGTATTCGGTCTCCGTCGTTGGCGGAGAGAATGGATTTAGCTGTCCAGAATTGCTGCCGCGGATCGTCACGCATGACGAGGTAAAGTTCGTGACATCATCGAGGCCGGCTAGATCAGGCATGATCGCAGCCATGCCAAGTACAAGTAAGTTGTATCGTACGGACGGTGCAAGATATGACCGTGATATTTATGTTGTAGTTCTGATGTAGTTCCCGAAGTATAGGCGATGTCGATTAATCAGAAAAGCCATGGACCTGATTGTGGATGACAGTCAGGTGGAAATCTGCTGCGCGTGCAAGTTTAATGAAGGAGAGTCGGGCCGGGCCACCTTGGCAACTGAATACTATACCCACGGTGCATTTCAGAGACGAGCGAGTTTCGTAAAAACGATCGGTGATGGCCCCTCTACCATTGTCTATTCCCGATCGCAACCAACAACAACAAGCCCGTGATTCAGTGGTTAGAGACGTTAGGCTTCTAACCAACAGGCCGCGGAATCGAGCCCCAGATGTCCCACACTTCGGGGTTGTGTATGACTGGCTAACGACAGCTAATAATCCAGAAATAGCCATTCCAGTCTCCCCCGGTTTTGTCGGTAATGTTATTCTGTCTATATTACGCACAGCTGTGGCGCTGCTGGTCTGGCTCGAGAGAGAGCCCTAAGGCACAACGGGACAAGTTCCATAACACGATCGGTGAGCGCCCCTCTACCATGGTAGTGAAGTTGTTAGCCGTATTAGAAATCGTGACGCTGATGGCCAGCAGTTCACTGCTGGCCGCTAAATTCGCCAGATCGGTAACATCGGGAAGGTCGACCACGAGCGTCATCAACTAGTTCAGATGCGTTATGAGGAAGGTACAGCTTTACAGATATCGTTACTTCGGAGGACGTGTTAGGTCAACTCGATTCACAAATGCCTTTAAAGGTAGTTTGAATCCAACAAAGAAGAATTCATCTTTTGGATTAAGTCCAAGTCCACGTGATCTGTTTATTTTTAATATCCATTTCACAGAAATAAAAAGCAAGTGTTGTGCCACAACTCCAGTGAGATTACACAAAAGCCATGGGGACATATAACGTCTAGAATACACTAGATTTGTTTAGATCCACAGCGGACTAAAGCACATCAATTCACATATTCAAAATAATTAATTTTTTACCCAACGAAGCCCAGAATGGTTCATTTCCGTCAGTGGACAATATTCTCTAAAAGTCAAACGGCTTGCGGCTCTTGCGGTCGTCACCCCTAGCAAGGATTTCGGCCACGTCGAATTCGAATGTGTGGCCGGATCTCGTCGAATGGGCCTCAACTTAAGAGCTGGCGTTATTTCTCCGCACTACTGCCGCGTATTCGACCATTCGCGTTCGGAGCAGTCTTTCGGTTTCTCTGAAGTAGTCGCTTTCTCTGCAACTGCACCAGTTCCGATAAAGGACTCCAGACGTTTCTTGCTATGAGAGTGGGCCCCTCGGTTTGTGTAAAACTGCAACTCCGAGTGGTGCGAGAAGGCAGCCAATGGCTTCCCAAATGTTCTTGACATACGGAGGCTTACGCCAAAATTTGGGGTCCGTGCGATTTGGCCTTTCTTCCTGTTTGCGTATGCACCTGTTGACGAAGTTGCGCGTGTAGCCATTGTCTTTGAATGTCCTTATCATTTTCGCCTTATGACCTAGTTTTCAACAGACTATTGCCCATTATGTCGTACTTCACGCTCAACTTTTTGCCTCTTCTTTAGTCAAGAGTTTCCAGTCTTCCCTGTGCAGACGATAGACCACCGAGATACGGACCTTTGGTTCTGTCAGTTCAGTCCAGATGGGACCCACCTTGCCACCGGTGGCAAGGACGCCAATGTTGACGTATGGCGGGTGGATGTTCAGACACACACCATTGTCTCCAGCCGCACCCTGTCAACAAGCAGCAGCTACATCGGACATCTCTGCTGGTCGCCGAACTCTAAAAAGTTTGTCCGCCTTTCCTCTAAGCCCTTCTGGTGGGCCATTTCCACTCATACTTGTTTTTTTTTCATGATGGTAGTTATTAGGATTTTTCCGAATTCTTTGGGATAATGTCTGTTCTGACATGTGTTTCGCCAGTTTTATGCGACTGCGCTAAACAGACGCGAGTTCTGCTGCACACAGTGTACCCTTGCATTTTTGTGTGTTTTCTGATAATAGTTTAATTTCGAAACCTGTCTTTGCAATGCCCTCAAATTTCTTGAGTGAGGCCTTCGGAGCAAAGCCTTCTTGTTTTGGCCGGCCGGCCTAACGGTTAATAGTATAGAAGACGAAGATGCGATCACTGGAACAAGAAATTTATTGGCCTGACGTTAATATTATTATTTGTCAGCTATGAATCACTTGCAAAAATACTGCAGATACTTCGTAGGGCTCAGAGGAATATTTTGCCTATTTCCTTCGTGTCTGCGTGAGTTTGCTGCGAGCTCGACTCCTCACCATGTCACCCAGCGTCCCTCGAGTGATTTTTTGATATTGCTCCGGTTGTCGTTGATGATCCAAACGCATTTGGAATAATGCTCTGAGGTGGAATTGCTGACCACAACACACTTCTTGCTGCAGTTTTTAGCAGTGCACTCCTTCTGGTGTGCCAGACCTTCTACCCATGCGTCACATCGTGCATGTGAACACTACATGTTCCTACCCTCGTCAGAGCCAGCACTTTACCACGTCGCTCAGTCGATTCCGTAGGCGCCTTTGATTCTCGGCTATGGACTGTCTTCTAACCTGTCACCAACAACTTCCCCGTGAATAAGTAACCCCCTTTTACGCCAGTCGCCCCATTGAACCTGCATCCCCACCCTCAGCTTGTTTCCTAGACTTCATTTTTGTTTCTGCATGTGTTCACTAGCAACGCGACAGATCGTCGACTTTGAAATGGTGCAAAAGGCCCGTGCCTTCGAAATATGGTCTAGTCTTGAAGAAGGAGAAACGATCGCTGGAAAAAGAGCTTTATTAGCCTGACGTTTTGGGTTCCTGCTTGAACCCATCATCAGAGACAGTCTAGTAAAATGACTTCAACTCTAAATTCCTTAGCCTTTCCATATTGTGATTATGCCACTGGTTTCGAATTTTTTCTTTCAGACCCCTTGTAGTTTCTTTGCGGAGCTTCGCAAACTCATCGACAATATTACTGACCTTTTGACGTTATTCAAGTTTTCCGGAATTATGCCGTCTTTTTCATGGGTGATTATAGTAGTTGCATAATAGAGCATGCTTGTTCGAAGGGCGTCTTATTCAAATACTCAGGATCTCTATCGGTGCATATTCTATGGTGAGACGACGCTGGGTAAATTTGTTCTATATCTGCGATTATGCCCAGTTAGCCAAAGGCAACAGCGGGTGGTTGTCAATAATTCATCAGATCGATGCATCTACATACTCAATGGTGTGTGATTTGTCTATCAGAGGTGAAGGCTCAAACAGTGGGTAATGTTTGGCTCATTAACGGGGGCAAGCGTTGGTCCGTGAGAGTTGGAGGGAAGCGGCAGCGACGTATAAACACTCCGATCGGTAGATGACGCAGGCGTCGGGCGGACAGACCTAGGGACGTCTTATGGACAGTGGGTGAGTTTGTAACCAAAGAAAACACCCCCAAATCGATAGCTTGTGTGAGCGTTAGTAGGCCTGCGTTGAGCCACGCGAAACAATAAGTCTGGACCAGATTCATTTGGACGCATAAGACTGGGTTTTCTGAGCGGATGATCGTTGCTCTTAATGTCGCCAGAATATGTCGCAGTGGCTTTTAGTGGCAATTAGGCACCCGTTAGGTCACCTGACAAGTTTTCCCGGCATACATCCAATGACCAGTACCGACAAAGTGTGCTAGGACAGAGCTGTTTTTGCCTCAGTCCCCCTTAACCAAACCCAGAGATGTTTTCCGGCTTGCAAAAATACCGCGACGTCCGGCTGATGTAATCCGTTTTACAGGAGGCACGAAAACCTGTAGACGCGGTCTGAAACAGTCGTTTGTCCTTGACTCTGAGAGAAGGGATCGGCGCGCTCGGAAATACCTGACTAGGAGCCAATGAAAAACGTTTCAAAAGTTAACTTGCGCGTGAACTGGTTGATTGTGACAGCAGACTTGCGCAGCATCTGCCGCACTCTCGTCACCCACATGGGTCCGAAACAAAACAGTCAAGACGACCGAAGGTGGACCTGGGCGCAGTGGCCGACAAAACTAGACAGCTCCTCTATGCGTGTTACAAGCAACCTAGTCCCATCAGACAAAAGTGATGGCTCGGATCTCGCATGTCTGAAAAGATCATAAAGGTCACATTAAGAAGGAGCCATTAAGCCTCACTCTTCCAGCTGGCCACCCCACGGATACAGCACTGACCACAGGGACTGAGTTGCCCGTTTAGTTGACAACCTTCCAATAAATGACTTGTAGCCCGCCAGATTTATTACAGTAAGGAGTTCGCTGATGTACTATAGTGAGGGGTTCCCCAGAGTCGGTCTCAATCTCTTCACTCTCCCGCTGACTAGTCGACTGTCCGAGCCTGTCGACCATCGGGTGCCGGGCTTAGGCGTATTCTTCCTACCGGATAGACCACACCAGATTTTTAAAATGCGTCAGTCCGGCAATCCTCCTTTTTTAGCCATGTTTCTCAACTAGACCAGTTCGGTCTTATCAGAATGCGTTCCGGCGCTACATTGGGGATGTTTGCTGTGACAGAAGACAGGAAAAGTACCTGATGAGGACTGCTTTTTCAACGTAAATCAGCAACTGTTCTCGAGTTGCTTCACTTTATTAATTAACGGTAATCTCGCTAAGATCAGCTTAACAGAAGAATTTATGTAGGCAAGCCACATTCACTGTTTTCTGCCACCGGAACAGCGGAATTTGGGTGTTGAGAGATGTAAGCATTTCTGAGTCCCAGTACGTTACACGCCTAATAACCGCATGCTTGCGGACGCTTCTTCTTCTCTGTCCTTCATATTCCTCATCTTCCGCCTATTCCTATTCCTCTTCTGTTATGTTACCTGAAAGTCACATCACTAGCCACGGTTCCCCCTTATCAATACCGGCTGTCTTAGTGAACTGCTTTCATTCTTCCAGATTAGCCGTGTGCTGCGGGGAGCTGCACGGTCCAGTCATAATCTTCGACGTTGCCAACAGGCGTCAGTTGTGTAGTCAACAAGTAAATGACGAAGACGTTTACTGCGCGGCTGCCTTCTTTGCTGACAGCCGAAAACTGGCCTTCGGTGGCATGAAGGGCGCCTTCTATGTCATGGTAAGTCGTAGTTGCTAAATGTTTTTTAAGTTTTCTGCACGCACTCTTCCCCTCCACGGACATTTGCCAAACTTGGAGTAACCCTTAAATAGTTCTGTCCTGCACAAGTTCTCATTGATTAATTCAGAAGACAAGCAGGTGAACAGGGATTTCTTAAGTAATTTCTCATGTCACTGTGCCTATGGAGAGGTAGTGTTGTTTAAAATAAGGGAGTCTGGGATGGCTATTTCTGGTTTCTTGCCGCCATCTGTCAGCCATACCCGGACCATGAACATTCAAGACTTGGACCCACACTCAGTCGATCACTACCAATTCTGCCAAGAGACACTGTCCTTCGGCTGCTGTTAGCGATTTTCAGGGTCGCGTCGCAGTAGTGCTCACCAGTCTAGCATGATCCGTCTTATTGTCGCTGTCGTTGGGCGAGAGAACAGCTTCCCCCAACTTCACGGACGTACCAAGTAAAACCACAATATGCGGTTAAGCCATAGGCTATCGGACAGTGGTTCCATGGGGCAGCTTAATTGAAGGACGATATCCTGTACCTCTCAGTTTCATAGGTGGACTTCTTCAGCCATCACTTTTGTAGATTTTAGGGCCCCAGGATTGTACCAGATAGTAGGCGATGCCTTACTTAGCGGCAGGCAACGCTCGCCGGTAACGCTTATATACTACCTCTTCAAAGGTAACTGGGTTGATCGGTACCCAGCTGTACGCTGGGATATTACTGCCACATTGTCTATGGTGGTTTATTTAGCTTGCACTGAAGGTCATTTTACTGTCTTCCACCTGTGAACACACTGAGTGTTCGTCAGCTAGGCTAACAAACGGACTCATGCATCCTGCTTGCCAAAAGCTATAGGAGGTGTTCTTACAACATTTCAGTGAAGAACTTTTCTGCCTGTACACAGCCTAAAAGTGCTGTTAACAGTGATTGACCAACATTACCTTTTATCAATTGTGGTGTTTCTATTTCTTTCGTTTTGAATTACTGGAACGTAACAGACGTGCTAGTGATCACTTGGCGAGCTTAGGTTTACTTTCGATAGATGCTCATCGGACCAGTGCATTTATGTGGATATGTGTTCATTTAGGACATATTTAATTTATTTCCTCCACACATTCTTTGCACTTTTTCTAGGACTAAGCACGATATATTTGACTACCCAATTTTGGCGTTTGTACTAGTGTTTAGTGCATCTTTTTAATGTTTAAGGACACTGAAGACGATGGTCACATCCTGGTTACTGTTGAGGGTTACCGAGTGCAGAGTATGGTCGCTCTCCTCACGCCACCTCCCGTCGATATCGCTCCCAATTTGGCCAGCTTTACCGACAGTTCAGTTCGTGATCTGGAGGCCTGTCGATTTACTCTCGATCCTACTACTCCCGGTGCTCCCGCAGCCGCTGTTGCTCCTGGCCACGGTGACTCTGTTTCGATGACCGACTTGAGCCACAATTCTGTTGAAGTCATCGGCCATGGCTTACCGTTCTCCGGCATTGATCAGCTCCTAGTGGCCGATAGTCTACACAGGGTTCGCCTCTTTAAGTTTGGCTACACAACTTCGGTAGCCGCAGGTGCGGCAAGTCGCGAATTAGAGGACCTCAATCCCCTCATTCAGATCGCCAGCGTTGCGACGACGACCACACAACCCACCGCATCTTGGGCGGCCCCCGCATCCTCCCTGGCGGTCTCTGTCGCGGGCAGTCGTGGCCAGCGGTCGACTATCCAACTACCTCTCTCCTCCGTTGCCGCAGTGATGCAGGCCGCGGGCGCCCTCATATCTTCCTCCTCTGCTGTCGTTGCTGCAGCTGCTGTCTCCTCGGCACCCGGAGCCCCACCGACGACTGGTAGCCGACCAGCAACCTCCGCTTCCGCTGGCAGTTTGTTGGCCTTCCGTCAGACCACCTCGGACTCGGGCATCAGCCGTCAACATCAGCTGTTGCACACTTCCAGCTCGCCTGGCTCCGCACTGGGTGAGTTCAGATATTAACTGGATTCCATGTCCCCGATCTAGTCTTAGGGTGAGGAGAAGGATTCATTTTTAACAGCGGAACATATTTATTAGACGCATAGTTCCCCGGGCATTCTAAAATCACTCGCGCATAAGAATTTTATTCATATTGCACTGCCTTTTTCGACAAAAATTTACATGACTGAGTTGGTCGGCGCTGTCCTCTGCTGATTGTTCAGATTAGCGGCTTAATCAGTCTACCTTCGGAGGAGCTAATAGCGAGCCAACCCTTAGGCTCTGGTGGCCCTTGCCTCGAGACTAATCTTCTCTCGGTAAGGGCTGGCGAGCCTTCCGAGCAGAATTTTCTCCAAGACCGGTTTTGTTTGCGAAGCAACACCCTTTTAGTTTGGATCCTTTCAACTAAATTTTTAGGTTGGATTATGACATGTTTAGGATCTCCCCCCCCACCCCATTTAAACTCATGTCGTCCTTATCACCGTAGTCCCACTTTTCGCGCTGTTGACAGTTTTTAGGTACTCAGTCGATGTGTTAGCTTCACTAATTCCGAAAGTCTCGTGGATGACTTGGGCGTGCAGAATTAGAGGATGTCCTATAACTCAGTGAAATGATGCTCATTGGGCATATCATTATTGTGTGTCTTAATCGGTTTTTCAATTTTTTGGAGGTTTCAGCGGCCACAACAATGGTAGAGGGACACTCACCGATCGTTTCTACGGAATTCACTCGTCCCGTTGTGCCTTACGGGCTCTCTCTCCAACCAGAAATGGTCATTTCAATCACCCTTGTCTTTGTCGGTAATACCATTCGGCCACAGAACACCTGTCGAAATCCAGCCGGGGTCGTGTATCATCTTGTTCTGTCTTAGCATACCTCCTCAGTTAGGCATGCGATCCTATGATGCTTGGGACCCTACAATAGGGGAAGCTGATCCGTTCACGCTACAAAGCAAGGGTGTAATGGCGAGTGTATCAGTTAAGATATCGCCCTCGGATCGCTATAATTAGGCACCCATATCCTCTCTCAGGTGTCATCTGCGTGAGGAGTCACTTTTGTAACGCCAGAAATGGCTCGGCCGCGCGCTGGGTTGTCTGCGACTTGCTCTTCAATAAGAAGACGAATAGTCGCCCCCTGCGTAGCTTGCCCGGTGCTAGTTGTTTAATTTTCTCTCTAAACTTTAGCACTTTCTGGCGACGGTCGCGGTAACCCCGGTCAGGTCCGGGGTCACCTAGCTACCGCACACAGCGGTTACCCCATTTTTGTCAGTGGCGACAGCTCAAGTGGTGGCAGTGCCGGTAGTGAATCCATTTTCTACATCACCGCCTCCGGTGCGGAACTTGCAGGCTCCTCGTCAGGAATCCCTACGAGCGCAACCAACACCTCCGCTGCTGTTGCTGCTGCAAGCACCGCCACGCTCTCCCCCTCAGTACTGGTAGCCAATCTGCTGCAAAGTTATCCCCGACTCTCACTCTTCCCGGAATCCTCTACTAGCGCTTCCGCAGCAGTGACTGACGGTACTTCCAGAGTGGGCGGTGGCGGCCCGCTCGATGCTTCCACTCAAGCTGTCACGCAGGGGACCACAGAATCCTCAACTACTGGCACTACAACAACTTCCTTTGCTGCTGCTGTAGGTGCGGCCACCGATGCGGCGGCTCGTAATGCAAACCAGACCTACGGATTGCTGCAGCACTGCACGCTCATCAAGGAGTTACATGCAATTCAGTCAATTACACTCTCTTCTTCGGGTCGCAGACTACTTGTCACTGTGCATAAGCGCGTACGTTTCAACGATTTCACTCCTTTCCTACTCTCATGGAACTAAGAAACGTTTTGCTATGCTGTAAGGTAACAAGTGTCCGGAGTTGCGACCCATCATACATACACTTGTTTCGGCTCCCACTAGTGCTGGTTTACTCTTCCCTAAAGTCCGTGGCATAAGTTGTCAATGACCTCAGGTATTGACGCGGGCATGGCATAGACGAGGTCTCCGCTATCACCCGTCATGTAGGTGAGCCCGTAAACCGTTGGGCGAGCATGAGGCCGTATTGGAGCGCTGCCAATGTTCGCAACATCCTAATAACGTATCGCCTTCTGAATGTATAAATAACTGGCTTACCAGATCGGCCTCTGTAGGCACTACTCTTCCGTGGCCCTCAATGGCTTATTCGTCAGGCCAGATAACCTACTGTTTTCGCGGTAAGCCTTCGATGTGTACCACCTCACTATCCGCCACTTGTAAACGTGCCGGGTAACACCCAGCCCCTTAATTCGCGTTACTTTGAAATGCGTCTGACCTGCCCTCGGGCTAGTAATAGGAATTTGACAACACCGTTCAGATATGGGGACAATCAAATCCTGCCTCTAGTACCGGCAGCACTTCGGACAATTACGCCACCAACACTACTGCAGTAGATGTGCCATCTCAGTAAATGGTAGCCAGCATTCTGGAATTCGTTTTCGATTCGAAAAGACTACCTAAGTGGGGTTGTAATGTTACTTATCGTGCAGCATAGCCCCAAGGTATTTCGGTAACGTCAGGATGCCGGCTTCGGCCGTCTGCAAAACCTGCACTCTAAAAATGACTGCTTAGACATTATGAGTTCCCCCATCGTCTTTCAATGCCCTTACAAATTCAAACATATTTTACAGAGGACGCACAAAAATATTCTTTCGTGTATTCGTTTGGTAGTAAATCACGTCCTCTTCAAATCTTGCACTTACAGAAAGCTTATCTTTCAGCTTTTGAAAAGTCATTATGGGATGTTTAAGATCGTGAAATGTCCATTCATAAAGCATAGTATCTGTACATTTATTAATACTGCTTTTGAAGTTTACAACACGGTCTACACTCATTGCAAAATTTCAGGGGCCCTGTATGACGTCTTCTTAATAGCGTATAAAAATACATCGCATAAATACATCGTATAAAAATACATATGCAGCTTGTGTTTTAGGAACTCTGAGTGCACGTTTAGCGGCAAGTTGGGTTCAAAATTATTTGGAAATTGCAAGAGCTTTTTAAGGCCAAAAACACCCTTTATTTACGTACAAAATTTGAAGAAGACGTGATTTTCTATCAAATGAGTACAGAAAATACTTTCATGCATGTTTTCTACAAAATATATTTAAATTTATAAGAGCATCGAAAATAAATGGGGAAAATAAGGGTGTTGAAGTGGCATTTTTTGCAGTGTATGTGTTGCAGACGTCCGGAAAAGAGCTCGTTCAAAAGCCGGCATCCTGACGTGACCGAAATATCTTGAGATTATGCTGCACGATATCTAATCTTACAGCCTCACTGGGGCAATTTTTTCAAATCGAAAACGCATTTCACAATTCCGATCAATATTACATGAGATGGCACATCTACTATACTTCTACTGCCGCCACCACCGTCATCATTCACCTACGGGTCTTTCGAAGGTATTGTCAACGAAGACGCATCTTTTCACACCTGTGCTCTCCGTGTGGTAAGCATACTAACCAATAAGTTACTGGAGATTACTGCTACCCTGTCACATTCTTCTGCAGAGACGAACGAATTGTTAACGCGCGGAATCGTCCTTGTGAGCCGTGGGTACCCAATTTTGTTTCACTGAGATTACTGATATAAAGAATTACAATCTCTTGCCAGATGCCGATAGTTACCTGTCTCAAAAGTTCCTGCATTCGGTGCTGACTTGATTTTTAAGAAGGTGTAGATCCCATGCAAGTGAAACGGTCTTTTACTTTATGCTTCACATTAGATTGGATCAGAGTTATAAGTGGCTTTTTCTTTCGTATTAATCAGAATAACTTGTGTCGACTTTAACTAAACAGATCAATTTGCCGTACTGACAACATGGCTACTTAGTAAAAGCCCATATACGTTTTTCGTTGATTTTGTGCCGCTGCTTGACGCAGCTGTGAGGAGTTGGGCTCATCAGTAGGTCCCGCAGCGTTCTCCATGTGTTACGCACCCTAATTTCCCCACAAATGAGTATATGCACTTAGCGTAATTTCTAACTTTAGAAACATCAGAAATTCTAGTACAGACCACAAGGCACGTGGCAAATACTGGGGGACTTGCAGATGAGCCGATATTGCTTGTACTTGTCCGGTTCAACCAGCTTCGGCAATGTCGCGAATCGTACCATCCCACGCGTGACGACCCGCGGCAGCGGATTTGAAGAGCTCAACCCATTCCCCCAGTAATGAAGACCGAATACAGATAGTCCAGAAACCAGCTCTGTGTCTTGAAGTGGGTTGAGCCAGCTTTCCGGTTCGATCCCTCTTCGACACCTCCACGTGGGCAGCGGTGCCGGATCGAGGACATCAACACGGAGCTCATGGGGCGGACAACGAAGGATGCGTCCTGAGTTGTATTTCTTCGGCGGCACTGGATATCTGTGCAATGATGTCGCAACGAGTGCGAACTGCCTCCTTTCAGTCAAAATCGATGTACTTTACTCGAAAGATGCGCCTCAGTCAGCGGTGGTCAAACCTCCAGTTTTCGTCCAACTTCCATGCCCACAACCTAGCCTTCACAACCGTACAAAAGGACTGATCAGACGAATGCATGGTACACGCAAATCTTCATGGCGATGGATATGCCGCTCCGAGTTGTGAAGATCTTACGAACAACATTTATTCGGGAGACAACATAGTCTTCACTCGGTCCATTGGGCAGCGACCTCGCTCCGAGATACTTAGAACTATTTACCAGTTGACCATTTTCCAGTTGACAGCCATTAATGCCGAGTGATGCCTTCTCTTGGCCAGGGCTACAGTTCGAAAACACTTTGGTCTCCCCGGTGTTTATGGATACACAGACTGATTTAGCGACTTCATTTACCCACGACACCACAGATTTGGGGGTTAAGAATGAATTTGCAGTTGGGGGCAGCAGACATGCAGGAATGGAAGGTAAGCACGATAGACAGATGCAGGGGAGAGGTCACGATGGAGCAGAGTTAGAGAGGTTGTGCAGGGAGGAGAAGACCTTGTGATGAAGGGTCAGCAGAGACCGGTGGAGATGCCACAGAGAACAGTGCCGTCGGCAGTAGTCAGATTGGTGGCCTGGAATTGAAATTCGAAAATATCCTCGTCACAGGGTAACCAACACGACGTTGTTTGGCAGCCATTTCAATGAGGTCGATCTCGGAAGAGAGCTGAAGGTGAGCGATTGGAGGTCTGGACAGCGTGTCAATCACTTCATTCGGGGACCCGTTTATGTGACGGGTATCTGAGGCGAATTGGGAGGTATTGCCCAATTGGCGAATCTCCCGGGGCTTGGGCTTGTCGGAGTTTAACTTGAAAACGAGGGAAAGGGCTTTTTATCCATGAATACAGTGAAATCGCTGCCCTCAAGAAAGGACCGGTAGTTTTTCACAGCTAGGTAGACAGCGGGAAGCTCCCATCCAAATATGCTATGGCGCGATTTGACGAATGATTACTTCCAGGAGAAGAAAGGTAGTGGTCGAGTCTGACCTGCGAGGTGCCGCTGAAAAACCTCACGGATTGCGACATTTGAGGCATAAACCGTTAGAGAGATAGGTGTGTCGGCGGCAGAATGGGTCAGGCGGTGACTTCGGTCAGGGCGGCCTTCACTTTGTCAAAAGCATTGCGGTCGTCTGCGGAGAACCGGAACGAACTTTTGGGACGCGAGAGGGGGGTCGTGAGCGGCAGAATAGTGTCGGCGCAGTTCTTGACGAACCGTGGACAAAGAGTAGAGCATGGAGAACTCAGTACGAACCTCTGGAACGTTTGGAAAGCGTTGCGGAGTCCAAACGCCATACGGAGAAAATCAAAGAGCTCATGGGCCGTGGTGACAGCCGTCTTCGAAACGTCATCCAGAGCAGTTTGAATTTGGTGGAATCCCCGGGCCACCACCTGTCGAATAAGGCACCCACAACATTCCTTGGATACGGGACAGGATAGCGGTTCGAAATGGGGACGTTGTTCAAGGCCCAATAGTCGCCACAGAGGCCAGTCACCGGTCGCAGCCTTTGGGACCACATGGAGAGGCGAGAGCCAAGAGTTTTCAGGTTGACGGATGATGCCTATCTGAAGCATTTACACAAACTGGGCCTTGCGGACGGCCAGAGGTGTAGACGAGAGGCAACGCGACCGAGAAAACATAAGAACCGGTGGTTTGGATATGATGAAAAACGTCGTGTGATGGAATAGAGTCGCAAAAATCGGGGCGGGTGAGGCCGAGGTGTTTTGCAAGGAGCTGTCGAAATGCTTTGCCTGAGTCGGTCCAGGATGGAAAGTTGATGGACAGCCCAGAGAAGGGGGCTCCCTGGACGGTGGGATTGGTGGTTTGGTCTTGTAGACGGGACGAACGGCAGTCAACTAGAAGATCGAAGGAGGCGAGGAAATCTGCGTCATGAATGGCACACGGTGGAGTTTTCAAGTATCACCGATGTTTGAGGCTTGCTCCACGGAGGTCGCTATTTGAGTCCGTTAGTTTTTGCGATCATCTCTAGCGAACCCTGTCATAATTTCCTGGAATTGGCGGGAAGACTCATGGTTGCAGGACCTGACTGGGACTGTTTTGACGGACAACTGCAAAGTTCTTCCGTTGACTCAGCCTCCTCGGCGTCGCCGGGTTAATCCAAGTATCTTCTCAACCTCAATAGACTCCTGACTTCAATGATGACCATTGACTCTTCTTCGACTCGGGTCGTAATATAAAATCTTATTTTCATGCGCAGGGCCTCAGCTGTACTGGTTTGTCGTAGTTTTGCGACATCAAGCCGTCTTGTACGTGAGAATTTGGGTGCAAGAATTAGTCCATATGACTGTCGTCTGAATAGCGGGTCATCAGACGTTTGTGGCGATACTAGAAGCACGTGAATGGGAATTTTACGCGTATACTCCGCTGAAGTGGACGCCTTTCAGCCTAAATATTCGCATCAACTTTCGGACAGAGCCTGTTAGGATTTGTCCTAAAGGTTTACTTTCTGATGAAATTAAAAAAAGCTTAAGTCACTAGTTTGTTAAATTCGTGGTCTACCCTAGAGAATAGTGAACTACTTCAACCGTCTTTAAATGTCCAGGTTATTCTGCCTGCGTGCTCTCCTCAATCTTTAGATCGAACTTTTGAAGCGGACTGTGCTCAACCGTGTAGCTGGATCACCCCCTTCCGAATTTTAGACAGCAACATTCAGCTAGGCATAGTATGTAATTTTTTCAATGTTACTCAATAGCCAAACATTGTCAGGCTGCGGTTTGGCACAATGTGCGCGCCGCTCAACGAGTGTTTAGCAGATTCAAGCATGCGTACATTCAAATACAAAGTTTCATTGACCATAAATGTCACCTGCTACCCACAAACGTGAACTGGATTATTAAAATCCCCGGCAGGCAGTGGATTTGAGAGAGCTATTAGCAAGGGCTAAAATCCAGCTCATCGTAAATTATCGTTCAATGTGGTGTGCTGTGCTGGGAGCCAATGTGTGTTCCGTCCTGTGGATTAGATGAAAGGGGCTCGCTGGAACGTGAACCTTGCCCACCCAATGTTTTTAGTTACTTATGAGAATTCCCATGTATTTTAATAATACTTAAAAGGAGCTCGAAAAACCGCCATTGTGACTGTCGTTATTAGCCTACTAATGCTTTAGCCTATGTAGCCCACCTAGTCTTTGTTGTGAAGTTTGTCTACTTATTCTGCTTAGGCAGGTATGTTTCGGCAAAGTTAGCGCAACTGTAACGGTAATATTAGCGGTTAGGGCAGGAATAAGGATCTTGAGATTAGAATTGAGGTTGGAATCTGGGTCAGGAGTTTAAGGTTAGGGTTGGTCTTTGGCCCTTAAGGTTGAGGTTAGGGTTTTAAGATTGGAGTTAGGGTTAGAGGTTTGAAGCTAGGATTGGGGCCGTAAGGTTCGGGTTAGGGTTACGTTGAGGTTAGAGTCTTAAGGTTGGAATTAGGGTTATGGTTTTCACGTCAACATTAAGGACTCGGTTTTTAAGATTAGCATTAGACCTAGTGTTCTAACATTGGGGTTTTAAGGTTGCCTTTGGGGTTAGGGCTAGGGCCTCAAGGTCAGGTTCAAGGATCAAGGCTTGGGTTAAGGTTTTAACATTAACTTTAAGGTTTAAGATTAGCTCACGAAAATGCGCCTAATGGGTCGTGACTGCTATGTCACAGATGCCAACTGTGCCATATGTCTTGGGATTGACCATGGTCAACTCACGAAGTCACTCCTAGCGGATCCCATCTTGACTGCCAATTGGCCTTTACAGCTTTTGTGAACGATTTTCTCTTTTTCTTCCCTTATTTTTCACGTCTTATATGCCCTGCTATCGCTTTATTTTTTCTCGATTTTTTCACCCCTCGGTCTTTTAGTTGCGTTTACATTGATTTCAGTTTCCCAACTGCTTGCGATTAGACTAGTCAGCCAATTCCGTTTCTCCATACATTTTAAATTGCGTGCTTAAGTTTTCGCTGGCTTGGACAAAATAATGACTTGAATGAAATTTCTTGCATTTCTTCGTGGAGTATGCTGTCTACCGCCTCCTTCGGACCGGCCCATAAAACCCCTAATACCACCCTTCCCGCACCATAGGCGTCCTTTCCCTTTCATGAGTGGACCCGCATACGATACCGTTGCCAGTTACTTTTCCTTCACGCCACGCTACCCCATTACTTGGATTGTTGGATCCGATTCTTTTCTGTCCAGATGCAGGGGCTTGTATAATTTAACCACCCTGACCGGTAATCTTTTATTACTTTAATAGGGCCTCCACCTCTGGGATTTGGAGTCGCTTGGGATGCTGCAGCAATTTGCCGGATTCAAGCAGGACATCTACAAACTGACCTCCACAATAGGCGGGATAAATGAGGATTTTGTGGCTAGCGGAAGTGAAGGTATATCTCCTGAACTCTCTTTCGCTCGCATAATTTTTTAATTCACGTGCCGTCGTTTGTTTACCTGCTTTTTCCCTATTGCCTGAAGTTTCAGACTATCTCGAAACAACTGGTGTTTGGTCGTTCACCGATCAACTTTTGGAGCATTCTGGTCGCGTTGCATCTTGAGGCTAATCTATAGCCTTCGCAGGAAGTCGCATAGCGACAAGTGATGATATAAAAAGAATACCGACAAGGGAGACTTGGATGGCCATTTCCGGCTTGCTTGTCGTCGTCAGCTAACCATACCCAACTCCAGGCTTTCAGGACATGGACTTCGAACCCAGATCCTTCGGTCATTGAGGGTTTTATAAGTCCGACGCTACAGCATTGAACAATGGGATCGTTGTACTTCCGGTTTCGATCGCAAATAATGACTATGATGGGAGGGCGTTCACAGATTAGCTTGCGTGGCATGCCACTCCTGTTGCGCATTGGGTACGACTGTCTGACGACGGTTAAGAACACAGATATGTCCATCCCACTCCCCCTTCGTCGGCATTCCCTTCTAAATCTCGAACTAACTTCTGACCGCCTTTTTGACCCTATTCTTCCACAGTTTTAACTCATTTACATGACCTTCTGGCAAAAAAAGAGCAAACATCTAGGAACGGAAGCTGCCGTCTTATTGCTGGGGACACGTTACTCAGCTTCTGGTGACATTCAACTTTTTTACCTTGGTATAGTCAGGAGGGTGTCGTCTACACGGCGAAGGCAAATTCTTGATTTAAGACCTCGGATAGGGTTCATCGATCAGGTTGCGGTACGGAGCATGCTTGTCCCGTCTCGTTTTCGGGCTCCAATACAGAACTCCAAGGCAGTCGCACATCAACAAGTAATGTTTCAGAAGAGATCATGATAAAAACGAGGCAGATTGGAATAGCTATTCCGGACTTGTTATCCGTCGTCAGCCAGGCGTTACCTCAACCCCACGTTTTAATTTGTAGGGACCGAACCCGAATTCTGTCACTGAATGTTAAGTCCAGCCCCCTATCATCAAAGCACGTGGCAGTTCTTCTGTCGGTCGACATCAGAAGTATTAATTAATACAGCCGGGACGATGTGTTTTTCCCGTCTGGTGAACTCTTCCTTTTGTAAAAAAACAAATCCGAGGTCGTTGGGAGGCAATTGAAAGACATCAAACATGCGTAAAAAGGAAGCCTGTATTTATTCTGCGCACCCAGATGGTACGCCCCAAGAGCAGGATTAGCTTCTTCGAAAATTTTGATGCATTCTATAGTGGCCGAATTGGAAGCCTCTTCCTACCTGTATATGAATACCATCTATCCATAGGGAGACGTACCTATCGTTAGTAGTCGTGCGTACAACAATTCGACCGTCGCAACTAACGATGTCCACCATGTGTTTCCCAGAAAGTTAAGGCTGGCACGTGAACCCTTTTATGGTGAAAATAGATTCGCGCACCGTCCACCACACTCTCCTTCTACCGGAGCCCGGTGTCAAGACATAGTCAAGAGATCAGGAGGCGGGGGAGGGCGCAGGTGGCTGACATGGCCGGATCCACACCTAGGCGTACAACCACACCTTTGGTCTATAGCAGACAAAACACTTGACCAGGATTATAACCGACCACAGCACCACAACGGCATAGAAAGAGGAGGATGACTGGCCAGCCATGCTCATGACCTGTATACCCAGTGAAAGCGCAAACGCATCTACCGGCAGGAAACTGCTAGCGTACACCAGGCTGCGAGAGCCACGGTTTGCTGAACCATAGCATAGCAGACGTTCGTAAACCTTAAGGCTCAGAAGGTGGACACATAGCCCTGCACTGGTTGTAGCTTACCTTGAGCCCCCCTGCGTAGCTGTAGGCGAATCCTCATCTTGGAGATGACGAAGCGATTGTCAGTCCACTCGTCAGCACCCGGGATCGCCATTGTCATCAGCACATCCTGCTGGTCTCGTCTCCGGACGAGGACAGTCCAGCAGGTACCAGTACCGCGAGCGAGGCTGCACCCTGATCGCCTTCTCCCGCGTCGGTAGGCCGGAGAAAGTGTTGATCAAAATGAGGCGGTATATTGCGCAGGATCGCAGGAAGAGTAGGCCTTTGTCATTGAAACCGCGGAGACCATGGGGGCCCAGCACTCCCCTCCGGGCAGCATGGTCTGTGTCGACGCGTGCGATGAAGTCATCAAGGACAATCAGCTTATTTACGGCATATTCGCCAGAAGAGTATGCAGGTCTTCGTAGAATTTGTTCCTTGCAGCATCAGGGCTTGCCTTCAGGGGGGGGGGAGGCGTAGAAACTGACGATGGTGGCGAACTTGCCTTCTCGGGGAGGCAGGCGGAGGCTTATTAGGTGATCGTCCCACAACTTCGTGCCGGATGGCAAAGGCGACGCCCGCGAGCCGTCGTTCTACCCTGGGGCGATCGCTCCAAAAGTAGGTGTTGCCGGCACCAACCTACTCTAGTTGGCTTTGTTCGGAGAAGCGGGTCTCGCTGAGTGCAGCGATGTCAACTTTGTAGAGCGCCAGTTCCCGAGCCACTAGCGCCGTTCTCCGTTCCTGTCGGTTGGTCTTCGGATTGTTTAGTATTACCGTGTGTGGAGATACGCACACGGATACCTTCATCCGGCTTAGCGCGCCGGTCGAGGCAGTTACCGAGGTGGGCCGCTGAGCAGAGCCTAGCTTCGAGGAGTCACGTGTTAGAATTGGGTGCCAGTTTTTGGACGCTATGCGTAGTCAACACCTTCAAGTATGTGAGCGACCCACTACGACCAGTACTTTGACCTACAACTGGACACCCCTTTACCCCAGTAATGCGTACATTGGATACGAGATGCACATTTTTATAGGAACTATCGTCCATGGTGCCAACCCAGCAATGCAGAGCTGCGAATTCCTCGACGTATCACCCCCTAGATAAGACGTGCTCAATAGGCATATCGATTACTATGTCACATATATTTGCGGGGAGTAAATACTGACGAAGGCAAGGGAGACTGAGATAGCCATTTCTGGCTTATTAGCCATCGACACCACACCAAATCCAGATTCCAGGTTTGGATAACAAGACGCTTAGGTTGTCTGACGTCAGGTCCAACGCTCTACCACTAAGCCACGGGTCCTTCCTGTCAATCGTGATAGGAAACGAACATGTTACGTGTTGCAGACTGATCGGCTAACGGCCTTCGCACGCTAATTAATATTTCCGTCTATAAATTACAGGGAAACAGGTCCATGGCCCTGGTAATTTAACCCTTAATGATCAAAGCACCCGACTTATCCACACCTAGGGTTGAGGTACGAACGACTCACAATAGCCAATAATACAGAACTGGCCATCCCAGTCTCCTGAAGCCAACTGGCGTACGGCCTTATAATTATTGGGCAGACTATGTGTAAAAGCTGTTATTCTATAGTTAGTAATGTTTTCTTTGCTTTGCCCTCAGACGGTTTTCTTCACCTTTGGCACCTCTCCTCTGGCGCTCGTCCCATATATTCTGCAATGGCGGCCACCGGTGAGCACCCAGTCACATGCGCTAACTGGAATCCGGCGCTTCCCACTATGTTGGCCACCGTAAATGATGAAGGCGAGATACGCATCTGGGCTCCAGCCAGTAAGCATTTGTTATTTATTTTTCTTTGTCCCCCTGTTTCTTATTGCATTTCCCATGTTGTTGGAATTATATTGATCCCCTCGTCTCCCACTCAGAACACAGCTTAAATATTCCTCCAGGCTTTCTCATACTTTTATCCGCCACCCTCTATCATCCTCTCTTGACAACCAATTGACCCAAATAATGTCACCTACAAACCTCCTGTGAATTCTGCTCTAGCAAGGGAGACCGTAGCCTGACATGGCTGAAGAATTACGGAGTGCTAATTCACGGTTGCCATTAAAAACTAGAACGCTACCACATAGAGATGGACCAATCTAAATCTCACCTCTGTTCAGCTGCCGGTGAAAAATCGAAGGATATTGCGCTGACCATTCTCACACACGCTTTGAAAGTACGTGTCAAAAGAGATAAAGAATTATCTATGAGACTGGAAAAACTTTGAGTACCAAACTCGGACAACTCGTCCGGCGTCCTTGTCCGTAACCTTTCATCTTAATCCCTCACGAGCACACAGCCCGCAGTCCTTGAGCGTGGAGTTACTTTCAGTACAACAGATGCCGCACCCACAGACTTTATTGCTGCCTTCGAATCCGTTCTTCAGTTAACAAAGGCATCCGAAGAGACGGAAGATTTGATCCATCAAACCTCCTCGTTGCTTATGCGACACAGGAGACGCAAAGCTCTTAGCAATGTGGAACAGCTAGCACTAAAAATCCTAAAAGCAAACAAGGACATAATTATTCCGCCAGCTGATAAAGGACGTTCCACATTCGTGATGGAGAAACTGGATTACCAGAACAAAATACAAGACATACTCGAAGACCAGCACCCCTGTAAACAGTGCTGTACAGCGAAATGAAAAATCTAGTTACCCGAATAAACAAAAGCCTAAGAAAACTCAAGGCCGAAGGAGCAATTACGTCCAACGACTGGTTCTTCATGAGATCCAGTGATTCCGCTACGGCTCGTTTTTACGGTCTGCCGAAGGTACACAAAGAGACTGTCCGACTGAGACCAATCGTATCCCTTCGAAACACTCCGACGTACGGTTTGGCGAAGTGGATGTTCGGTCGTCTTAATTTTTTTGGCCGATGGCTCACCAACAACGGTATCATCTGCGAACCAATTCCTCGAACGCATAAAACATCTGAAGTTAGAGCCAAACGAATCCTTGGTATCCTTTGATGTCGTTTCGCTCATCACCTCCATTCCACAGCAGCAAGCGATAGGCGTTGGCACCAACTAATGGCTGTGCGGTATGAGGAGAGGGACAGGCCTCTGAAGTCCGAACATCTGCTCGGGCTTCTGCAACACTGCCTCAAGACCTATTTCAGTTTTGTGGAAAAATGTACGAACAAATTAAGGGCGCTCCTATGGGCTCCCCTGTCAGGCCTAATTGCTGAAGTAGTTCTTCAACAGATAGAGTACTTAGCGTTCACAAATTACCAACCCAAGTTCTGGGCTCGCTATTTCGATGACACCGTCCTTGTCAAAATAACTAACATTGAATACCTAAAAGAACTACTGAAGTCGGTTGACCAGGACATCCAATTCACGATGGAAGCAGAAACAAACCACCAACTGCCCTTCCTTGACCTGCCGTGCGCTGGGGTACAAATGAACAACTGAATACCACAGTATTCAAAAAATCCACCGACACGAGGCAAATCCCACACTTCGACAGCAATCACCATGTCTCATAAACGTAGCTGTATCCGAACACTATTTCAAAGAGTCGAAACAAACTGCAACACGCCCGAAGATAAAAGTGCCGAACCTCTTTGCAGTCAGTGGTTATTCCAGACATTTTATCGACAGAGGCAGGCGCCAAACGCACAGACTACGACCCAATGAGCGGCAACCTGAAGTCTGGAGAGCTATTGTCTACGTTAAAGGGGTCTCCCAGGGGGTGTCTCGATTGTTACAACCCGCCAGAGTGGGCATAGCCGATCAACCGCAGGCAACACTACGGCGCTGTCTGATGCAACCTAAGGACACACTACCACCCGCTGAAATCTCACAAGTTGTCTACAAAATAAATTGCAATGAGGGCGACTGAGACTATGTTGGGAAACTGGGTGGAAATTGCGGACCCGCCTACAAGAACACAAATCGGCTACTCGGAGGCTGGACCCAAACTCAACCAGCAACGCACGTTGGAGAAACTGGACGTACTTTTGATCTCCAGAGAGCTGCCATCTTAGGCCGAGGCAACACAAAAGCAGAACGGCTAACACTCGAGGCTTGGTACTCCGGCGCCAACTCCATCAACAGGCATCCGGACCGTCCTGCAGCCTAAAAAAGTCCTACGTCATCACGTCCGTAGAGCTCAGGACTAAGTAACCCCACCGGACTTACGAAGGCCATACATAGACAGGCCGACGTCGAGTCTACCCGGCGAGAAAGAAGAACCACCAGACCGACCACTTGACGAAGCGGTGACACACAAAGCACACACATAAAACGCCCGCCAACCATCCCAAGAGGCCGAAGCAGCGAGAGAGGAGAAAAATCTATCAGCATGAGGCCGACCGGCGCGGCATGCCACTTTAAATTTATGGTCGGTTAAGTGCACTTTACGCTTTGAAAATGGGGGGCCGACCAAGCTCTTCAGAACCTCAGTGCCTAAACAAGCCCGTCCCTGTGAGCCCATCTTCTTGTTATATTCGTCAATCCGGATCACTCAACTTTCCCAATTTGATAATTATGGCCTTTGGATTGAGGAATGGGCTCTGATATTAGCGCACCCCTTATTCTTTACCGCATCCTTTACCACTGCATGTTTGGGTTTCGTTTTTTGAAACCCCATTCTCCCCTACCGCTCCATCAGGCAGGGCACCCGTAATATTTGAAAAGGGTGGCGCAACCATCTACTTCCTTGGGCCTTTTTGAAACCTGATTCTTTAAGTCTCAGCCTGCCTATTGGACTGTTTGCCAACGCGCAAGACATCGACAGCAAGAAAAACCTGTTCGATTGTAGTTTAATAGGCGTCAAGTCTCGTAAAATCTAGAATTCCCAGAGGTACCGTCTGGTGGGAAACAATTACTGAAATGTGATTGCAATGCTAATAAGCTCGGAATACAGTGTCTAATCGACTCATTCAGGATATCATGCTGCTTCCATCGACGGCCATCCTAGCCATCTATGCCAATCTCACTCGGACGAAAAGACACTGCTGTTGTATGTTCTTGCCATTAGTTTTTGTCAGACCATTGTCATTCGCAGATAAAAACTATTATAATGTAATAGAGCCCCCAGGATGGAGTTTTGTTTGAGTGAGTGGAGGCCGGACCGTAAGGTGGACATGGCTTATGGCGTGTGTTATGGTGTCAGATTAGTCTCAGAAATAATTTTGTAATCTTCGTAATCAAACTACCGAGTCAGATTATTAAAATTTTGTTTCGGTTGACAGTTGAATAAACAGTTGAATCTTTGGTCCACGTACTTTTATGCTCGTACTGATTGTTGTGCGATGTTGGTACAGTGTGATGGGATTATGAAACCGACGTGTTTTGAAATGACAGAAGAAAATCAGAGCGGCGTTAGCAAGGACAAGGACTTCGTGAATTCTCAGTCCCCAAACCAAGGATTCATGGGTGTCACAATAATCCTCATAAACCATTTGTAGGAATTTACGTCTTCTGGTCTATTGTTTGGAAACATAAAATATTTTAGTTCTAAAATCACCACTATTTCCGATGTCCCTTGAAGCACGATCTGAATGTTACCCGAGGGTAACATTTGTTTTATTTGGGTATGAAAGGACGCCTTAAACCTTGAATGCACCTGGAACAACTGGCATGTCCTGAGATCAGAACTACCGTGTCTGTGGATATCAGCATAATTGAGCATTTGAGGAATCGTCTCGGCCTAAAGTAACTTAGTGATAAGATTCTGCTCTTGAGTTCATGCGTTTGAAAGAACTTGATTCCAGTGAATAAAGAGTGGAGTAATGTGTTAAGTAACAAAGTGGACCTACTTCAAGTCTCCGCAACAACTTTAAGGAGAACTAGCCGACTTCAGGAAAATTAGTTAGATTCATACAGTGGCGAGACGTGGTACATAAATAATGAGTTTTTACTGGATAAAGTCAACATAAATGGCTGGTAAGGCCGTCGAGAAGAACCAGCACGTCGAAGTGGATGACTTCACCCGAAGTTATACTCTCTGTTTACCGGTATTGCAACTCCACTCCAGTAGTCCTTTACGTTCAGTAGCGCTATTCACGGACGCATCGGATAGTTAACAACCAGGCAAGCGGATCTATGTATTATCTAAGTCCAGCAATCAGTACTGATCATAAGTCCAGTTTATTCCAGCTCTTTACCTACCGTGGGTTCTCTTATGGCTGAATATGAATAGCACGCCGAGTTGAAATTGCACATCCAGCCCCCCCTGTTAATTACTGCGCACCGTGAAACGCATGTACAGTAATATCCCGAGGATTCGCGCTTCGGAATCTGTGGCTTTATTTGTTTGCATACTTTTTGTCTTGGAGCCCAACACTTAAACTTCACATAGCATTCAGCGTCCCACAGAAAATGCGCATTTCCAACATCCTCGAGGGGTCTTGACGTTCGACCGATCGCAGCCAACTCAGGCCTCTCTACATGTGGCTGCAATATGGACCCTGATGTTTATGAACTTGGCCGCGGGCAACCACGTTCCTCGGCCTAAGCGACATACCAGCCTTTCAGGGAAACCTCGCGAACTCGCTTGCTTGACCAAAAGATAGCCTTGTCCGCGTGGAGTGTTTTAAACACCATGTAAGCCGTTTCGAGCAGTCCACCGACCTCCAAGTTACCGGTGACTAGCCACTTCCACCAAAACCACTATTTTCGACCTTTACTGACCGCACACTGGCGTCAAAGTCGCGGACGATCCTTGTCATCACCCTTTATATTTTACTAAGAATTTCAAAAATTCGAACTGGCTATGGACTAATTAGTAGGAGACCGGAATTTCTGTGTTTCTTGATTAAACTCATGCTGTACGTCTTAAAACTGAGGGCGTTTATGCACAAGTTCTCTTTGGTGATGGTCGTTTCGAAGCATCAAATTGGTGAAACGTCTTGATGCCCTCTCGAGAGCGCACATATTCAGTGAGAAATAGATAGTTTCTAGTGACTAGATGACGTTCAGTTCTACCGAGCATTTCGAGATTTTCCAATAAACAACCAATTTTAAAACTTTCCGACCCTGCCTGATATCAAAAAATACGAGGGAGCGACATCTGAAAGGTGTCTAAAGGGCAGGTGGTCACATCATAATCACCACTTTTAAATTCATGAGATGTGTATCTATTCTATTTTTAATTTCAGAGTACGTTCCTGGATGTGCCTAGGAAAATGAAGCCCTCTTTTATTTGAAGCCGCCATCCGTCCCATGATCCCTGTTCTCCCCCTCCAAACGGTCCCCATCTTCCTGTTTGCATTTTACAGTTTTCCGCACCTTACTCGCCCCTTCGTTCCCTTTACGAGTGTTGTGTGCACGTGGTTTTTTATCTGCCCTTATAAACAGTCTTTCATACTAGTTTACGGGCCAGTCTCATTGGCGCAAACTTTAACTTTGCTGCCCTCTTTCCCTCTACTCTAGTGCTCGTTTCCCTATATACATTTCTTACCGTTATCTTCGATGTATTGGCATAATTTCAACCTTGAACCTCGGACTCAATTCAGTACTTCGCCCGATGATACTGCTTCTATTTCAGACGTAGGTTTTTGTACGTACAAGGTACCTACCAACATGTGTAGAGGCCTTGGATCTCGTTGAACTTGGATTTGTTCCTGTCTCGACTTATTTTTTGCAATGTTCGCTGAACAGGTAGTTGAGTTCATAATTCGGCATTCCACTCTTGCATGAACAGTTACGCAATGTTCATGCAACGACAAAGAATGGCAAGTGACGCCGCACTGATGAATTGTCGGTCTCATCTCATTTAAGTCTACTACTGCCTGCGAGGGTTCTAGTATGAGCCCCAAGGCACAACGGAACGAGCGCGTTCCGTAATTTGATCGGTGGGCGCCCATCTGTCATAATTGATATTCCCGATCACAACCAACAGGACACTGGACCCGTGGTTCAATGGTAGTGTCGAACTCTATGGCCAAAGATCCCGGGTTCGGATCTCAAGTGATCCAAACTTGGGGTTGGGTGAGACCGGCTGATGACGGCTAATAAGCCAGAAGTGGCCATTCCGGACACGTGGCCCAGACACGTGTTTCGCCGATATTCTGGCCCTGCGTGACACAGCTGCGAGGGGTTTGGCTCTTCACTGGGACCCCCAGCGTTCTCTATGCGGTTTCTGGTATATGAACTCCAGAGAATAATCAAGTGACCAAGTTCAGAGAACCGAAATTTCGATGATTACTCCTGTCTTAAATCCCGCCCTTGCGAGGAGGTATTTGATAACGGATACTCGATAACTAGTAGCGACAACTATAATTGCGAGTTCACGAGCACGTAGGAAATGCAGTGCCGGAAACCACAAAACGGATGGAAATTCGACGAACAGAAGCGGCTGACACGGTAAATGAATTCTCTTTATGCAATTCGCGTCAGGCAAGAGCAACAAGCACAAAAATGTATTGCATGCTTTGTTAGATGGACGTCGCACCACTGCTTGTTAGTGTACGTAAACCATGCAAGAACTATCATATTGAATTAGGAAGAAAGAACGGTTTAAATGACAGGGAAGTCAAACTGCTGAAAATAATTAGAAATATCAAATGCAGTAAACTTTGTATTGCCGACGTGAAAAACAAACAAAACGCAGGTGTCTGTACCTCATGACAATTGGAGTCATTCTCGACACTGGGCGTGGTCCAGACGTACTCAGATTGTGATCTCCGACTAAATCATTCAGGGATCGTAGCTGACGTCTAACTCGCCTCCAATAGCTTTCGAAATAACTGGTTATTACTCCAATGTCTGAGTGGCACGCAAGTTAGTGCTTCCAGTCAACACTTGGAATGCATCTTTATACTCGCCAGTTAGGTGAATTAGATGCCGAAGCAGTAAAATTTGATTGGAGGCGAATGGGTCAGAAACCTCTAAATTAGCCCCTTTACTCGTCAGTATCGCGTAGTGCGCAGATACGTTTCACACTGGCAAGCGCCATCGACCTTGTTTAGTCCTCGCACAGCGAATGAAGAGCCATTGTTCCCACGCATCTTGCGCATTAAACTTGAAAAACACATGTCACCTTCGCTCGTCAAACTGCATCGGTCCCACTAATAAAAAGCATAACCTCACCAACATTCGAAGTACACCCGCTAAATCAACCTACGATCTATATTATAGTCGAGTAGGTATTCACGTGCAGATAACCGAGTTTGTCCGTCGGACTGGACCTGCTCACATCAGCTCAATTTCTTCTCTTTAATAAGTTAACAGTTTTGACGCCCGAGTACGCAGTGTCCGTTTTTTGTGGCCGAGAGCACTTCATGTACAATATACACATCATCCGCGGTACCGGTAAAGTGCAGTGCCACGACTCCCTTGGCCCTTGCCTTTGGAGACTATTTGAGCAGGTCGAGTAGGCAACTAAGAAGTCCACCGCGACCTGCATAGCAGGCATCCAGACATTTGAGCGAGACCGACTTTACGTTTAGCGAATCAGTTTGACCTCCGAAAGTTAGGTTCTTTTAAAGACGTCAGCGTGGACCAAATCCTGCATGCTATACTTCCGGTAACCAGTAAATATGTTTAGTCACTGTATGCCTCAACTCTGAATCCCAACTGTCCAGTAGTCTCCCTAGCCTTAGTGAGAGGAAAGTATGAGTTGTGAACATACTTTGATGGTGATGGATCTTATGGTAACATCTATCTTAATGGTGTACGGGACTGGAAGCAGCAATCCAATCTGAGATTTCCCTTTGCCTTCCGATATTTCTCGGTACGTACCCATGATTACTACATTTTACTAGAAAGTACTGGCCGATTGCAACCTCATCGAAATTTTTCATGGACATGTAGTCATAGTCTTGAATCATCGCTCCTGAACCATGCAACAACACAGCCGGCATAGTGAGTGGTTTGCGGCCACTTTTGGGATGAACCTATCCGCAGTATAACTCCCGACTATAGGTATCAACATGAGTCGCCCTAGCGGAAAAACCAATCGAACACGCTCGCGAAAACGTCGCTGCAGTGCTTGTGGCAAGGAAATTTTGAAATTGGGCACTGTCAACAGTTGTACTTGGTCCATACAGGCGTTTCCTGTACGCGTTCAACGACTTCTTCAGACGCGTTGTGAAGGCGGCCCCGAATATGACAGGTTAGCAGTCGCGAACAACGGTGACGACGTTCACTGCGTGTGCACAGAGTACGAATTGTACTTGTGGCTTGCGCACCACTTACCGCGCTCTTTTCTCCACTACTTATCTGGCCCTAATGACAAGACAACGTCGAAACGACCGGAGGTGGCTGACTAAACTAAGCAGCTCATCTCAGCAGGCCACACACGCCCTGGTCAGCACAGCATGTACCAATCTTTCTAAGGCTAGGTCGGACCCCATATGCGTGGAATGCTACAGAGACCACATTAAGAAAGAGCTACTGCAGTCTGTCTGTCCAGAGAAGTGCCGAGTTATCCTGCCGGTATGCACCATTTCAATCCGTAACTTTTAGCGCATCTGACTTATTTTAATGAGTAATGCGCTGCTATGGCATAAAGATAGGTTGCCCAGTGTCAGCCTCACTCCGCCTTTCCCATCCCATGCACCAGTCGACTGGCTGGGCCTGTAAATCGGCTGGCGATCGGATGGGGCGCAGTGGCTGTGACAGAGGTGAGACCACGGTCCAAGGCATGTCACACACACATGCGTGCGCGGCAGTAGTTTTGGGCTCGAGCGGACTTGGCGCAGCCCTGTGAACGTATGCCTTGTCCCTCTAGTACACAGAAGTCTGTGTACGCTTGCTTTTGTTCCAATTTCCTTCTACGTCCCCGAAGGTGGTCAACAGCGATTTCAAGAATAATGCTCGTTTTACTGAGCATCCATGTGAGCACTGCCATTGGGAACTTGAAGAATGAGCAGTCATACTCGGTGTACGGTTTGTGTTTAGAGTAATGCTGACTGATGGGTTGGGCGCCGGCTTATTGAAGTTGCGAGAAGGCAGCGAGAAATGAAGACGAACAAACGGGTAAAAAGCCTCCTGAATAATTATCCGAAAGATAGAAAATGAATGCGATTTGAGTTTTTAAGGACTAAAGCTGTCACTCGTGGGAGGAAAATAAGTTCTTGGAACGGGAACGCCCGGCTGATAAGTTTATGAGGGCTCGAAACCTTCCTCATCAAGGGCTAATTCGCGACCAGAAGGTGGTACTTGCACGCCCAAAGCGCAGTAGATGCGATCATAGTGTTCCGTCTCCAACTGCGGGGACGACAGCCTAAGTGGCAAAACAAAGGGACAGTTCGCTTGGGGTCGGGACTAGGGAAGGACGTTCATAATCGCAAAGACTAGCGCTGCAGGGCACATCAGTGGATTTGGCAACCGATTTAAAGCATGGGGTTATAGTGATTTAAGTGGAATTTTCTTGCTAAACAAAGAAAGCATGTAATATCTACCCATAAACCCTAGGAGGGTCATTTTCAAAGTCCATAATTTGAGTATTCGGGAATGAAATGGAAGATTACGACTTAATACTTACCGCGGCAAGGAAATTAGAAGTGCCATAATGCCGACCTACTGGAGTGAGGGTATCATTATTTAGAAGATTGGGACTCGAATTACTGTGGAACAGGAAGCGGAGACTGGCTTCCAGTCTTCTAGCCCACAAGAATTAAATGTACGCAAATGACGTTTGTTAATATAAGAAATATTCGATCCAGCACGAGAGAAGAGTCATCGAATGGAATCTTTTGGACATTTTCCACTTTACTACGACCGTAGGCATTCAACAGAGCAAAAAGTGACAGGAATATTCGAGGATGGGAAGGACAACCGTGCGACAAAGTCCAAACTTAGTTTCCCAAGGGGAAAAGTTACAGGATCTGCAGCCTTTTCAGAAATTCAATCTCCATGAGATTATAAAGATAGTCTATTCGCATAAATTAGACCTAGGCCCTTGGTGGTGGAGCGTTCTAGAAGGAGATTATCTCGAAGAACTATGGACCCAAGGGGCTTGGCAAAACGAAATACATGAAATTACACTTAGTCAAAAAGAACATAATGGATGGTATGGTCAACAGGACCGGGGTTCTCAAATCAGAAGTCAGGGAATGCGGGTCGAGTTGGACAACTTTTACTGCTAAGGAGGTGTGTACACAAGGGCTCTGCAAGCAGTCGCCGCGAGCAGTCTCTCCAGGCGAGTTGTGCCTGTGCCCGCCGTTGGGGTGCCTAGACTCCTGCGCGTGTGTGCACCTTCCGCTCTGTCTCAGTGTCGGCTGGCCAATCAGAGGAGGGGCAGCGTTGATTGGCCTCGAGCACTCGCAAGGCTCGTGACGAGCCTCGCGCGTTCCAGCAGCGACTCGACGGAGAGTGTGCGGCGGACAGGAGAGCAGCGTGACACAAAGCAGCGGAGAACAAGGAGGATGGGCTGTCACAAACTCCATCTGCCGAGTCGAACTCCACTTCCCCAGACAAGGTAGATCGGGATTATTTCTTCAACGCAAACGTTTGCGTTGTCCATAGAAAGTGAATAAACGCACTTAAGATCATCAGCATAAATGAACGTCCGCGTACTAATGACTACTGTCGAGATGTCGTCGGTGCACACAAAAGTAGCGGATCCAGAACCCTGCCTTGAACTGCGCCACTCCTGATCGAATGAGACGCCGAATATCTATTGCCGCCCATAGCTTTCTGATAGCTTTTGGGTAAGCAGGACACAATGAAGTCGAGTAGAGGTCGGATGCCGAGTGCCTCGAGCTTTACTAAAAGACATCTATGCGACACTTTTTCGAGGTCATTACTAAGATCAAAGTGACTATCCATTATGAAGTGACGAGTTTCGCAAGATCATTCGGGAAAAAACCATGCTACGTTGAGTCCACAATCCCATTATCGAGATGGAAATCGGAAACTTCGTTCAGAACTACCTTTTCAAGAAGTATAACTAGGGACGTAGTTTTGTGTATACTCCAATAACTACTAACGTCGGGCTGAAACCCTGGTGAGAAGAGCCCACAATCCGATGCGTCAGCCAGAAGTCTAGAATTTACTTGAAAGTTATCTTTTCAAGGAGATTTGCTAAAGAGAGCGTTTTACGCATGCCCCGTAGTTAGTAACGTCGGACCGAGACCCCGACTTGGAAATTGGAAGGATAATACACACATCTTCCGTCTTTCGGGAAAGAATCCGCTCGAAGGATGAAATTGAGAATAGATAGCGAAACAGCTGGAAAAATTCTGGCACCTTAGTGATATTTGAGTTTGGAATGTCATCTGTTCCCCAGGAGTACGAGTCTTGATCGATTTATTGATTTACATACTAGCTGGACCCGATCACACGTTGCAATGGCTCAGTGTGGTAAAATGGAAAAGAAAGGAAGGGGGAATAGGACGCGTTTCTAGTATTTTTAATTTCATACTGCTGGTGGGCATACAATATATTGTGTCGTTGCGTTGTCTGTGCAGATATGAAGATCGTCTGGTTTGTCGACTCCGGAGCATGCAACTTATAGTTGTTCATGTATGAAACAATCCATCTGCAGATCCAAACCGCACAATTCTAGAGATTGGCCCTGAGATTTGTTGATTGTGATTGCAAGCACCAATCGAATCAGGAATTGCAGTGGCCTGAATTGAAATGGCATATCTGCCGGAATCAGTGGAATGCGAGAAAGGACCTGTCAAGATAGTTGTTTCACGACGTTGCTCATTAATGTTTACACACTGAGCTCGTATTAAGAGACGAACCGTAGTCGATTTCTCTTATCGCACACGCATTTCACCGCGTTCCCATCTGTATGTACTAGTCCGACGAGAAATTACCAAAGCACGCGCTTGCTCGCCAAACGTCCTTCTGAGCTCCTCATTGCCTCTTTCGCGGATGGCAGACGGTAGAGCTTAAAGTATATCTTCGTTAGGGAGAAAATAATGGTGGCTTCTTCGCATGTTATACATTTTTCCTTTTTTATTCGGTAGTTCCAGTCCTTATAATTTTGCCGCACTTAAATTAAATCAAGAATTTATCGTACGTTTGTCCTCCCCATTCTTGAATGCTGCAACCGCTTCTTCGGTTTAGTGTACAAGTCTAACCTTTGTGAAGCTGAAAATGCCCAAGGGCATTTAACTAGAAACCTGTTATATCCGACACATCCAAGTACCTCCTTCTTTCACAGGTGCCAAACAACTGACGTAGAGTTTCTATGTGTTCTGAGAATTTAAGCTGACTTCTAGCTCCATTTTCGCACAAATATTGGTCCGATGAAAATCGTCTGGATTCCGTAAAGTAGTATCCGAAACAAGTTTGGCGGTGCAGCACTCCAAGTCAGCTTTGCGCCCAGTACGGGTATCGAGCAAGACTTAGGGCAGATTCTTGCTCCGGTGAGTTTGGCTGTCATAGGCCATGAGCAAGGCTTTGTGTTGACGATGGAACATTCGAATAGAGCGTTGGGTGAGGGTTGATAGGCCGTCGTGTGTATGTGAGAACATCCGTGGAAGTCAGTAAGGTCCTTAAGAAGCCTATATTTAAATTTCTAGCCCCAGTCGGCAGTAACAGTTGAGGGGACATCATAATGGGAGATCCAGTATTCCAAAGGGGTACTAACAACAGTATTTGCAATTATATTCTGAATGGGAGTTGCGATGGGCCATCGCACAAAGCGGTCAATCGCAGCGAATAACTTCAACTACGGGATGTTGGCAAAGGATGCATGAGGTCTACATGAACATTTGCAGAACCTGTCTCGGGTATAAGAAGGGTGCCAGTGGGAGCTTCCTTGTGCTGTCTGATTTTGGCTTTCTGGCAGATTAAACATGCGGGTGTCAACTGTCGGATATCGGCGTTCATGCCAGGCCAGACGAAACGGTCGCTAACGAGGCATTGTAAAACCCAGATGCTAGAAGGAGCAAGAGTGTGTAGCGGGATAAAAACACCTCGTCGCATCTCGCCTGGTATTACAGATCGAGAGAAAACGCGCGACACGTTACACAGGACTGTATTGGAAGTTGTGGACAAAGAGATAACCTCGATCTGAAGATTAGTATGCCCAGTTTGTTCCGTGAAATTTGGCTTGTGCCGACGTTGGCCATGCGCTCCAATATAATGGAAGAACCGGAATGACATAAATTCTGGTATGGGAAAGACAGTCGACGACCTGATTAGAAAGGACTTTAGGAAATGGGATATATGTGGTGTACTGAAAAACAAAACCGAGATGGCGGGCACCTCGGTGTAAATACTTGTCAGAGGGAGTAAAAAAGGCATAAATAAATGGGTCATTGTCAGTGTAAATGCAGAACTCTCAGCTCTTAACATACTTACAAAATTCTTAACGACGGCATAGATGGTAGGGAGGTCTCTACCGAAAGTGTCATAACAAGTTAAGGGCTATATCAATTTGGCAGAGTAGAAGCCCAAGTGTTGGATGTCCGTTAGGGTCTGCTGCTAGAGGGCATCAGCAAAAATGGAGAGTGGACCTCAACTAGAGGATAAGGAAGAACAGTTATATCCGTAAGAATCACTTTGACGCATTGGAATGCGTTCAATATTGTGTCAGGAGAAGGAAACTCATGGTCATTGTGTAAAAGACCCGTGGGAATTAACATAAAGTGGGCTTACCGAGAGATGAAACGTCAGCAAAAATTGACAAGGCCCTTAAAATGTCGCAGTTGCCGGTAAGTAGCTAGGGTAGGGTACTCGTGAAGAGCTGAAACTTTGGCGCACATGGATGACAACGGAAACCATCTACGCCGCGTCCTAGGAAGGAGAACAAGGAAACGCCAAAGCGCATTTAAAGGTATCGGTGAGAACGCCAAGTTCACTCAATCGCTCAAACAATTAGACGTTAGTGTTTTAGGTGTTCATGTTCACTGTAACTTGTAACTAGAGGATTATTTGCATAAAAAAGGAAGCGTAAGTCTCAGGGGACCTAATTAAGGTTCGTTAGCTAGGGTGAAAGGTGGAAATTCCGAAAGCAAACGACGATAGGGAACGGACGGAGGAATTATTGAAATGCATGAACTAGGGGACGAAATGGTACGATATGAACAATTAAAATACGTAGACATCGTCGGATCAACAAATTTATGGAACCTCATATCAAAGAGGAGATCGAAAAGTAGTATAAAATCGGCTGCGAGTATTACGGTACGAGCATCAAAAATAGTAAACATCTAGCGGAAAGTGCATCGTGACTGAAGGTATAAGATAAAAGAACCTTGAGCAAATGTTTTAATGCAAGTAATATTAGCTGTCTAAACTTAAGATCAGCCAGAGGGGGTAGAATAAGACTGATGTCAGCATCAGTGTCCATGAGGAAATTACGGCTGGGACTCAAATCGAAATTGCGGAGCAGGCTACCTGGGGAGGTTGGGCCGACCAAGGTCATCGACGTTACGGGTTGGCAGGTGAGTAGCCACCGAGGATTTCCCATAACCGTATGCAGACTAGCAATTATAGGCATCGGACCCATATATGTGATGGTGCCAGCAGTGACCGTCAGGCGCGGACGGATCTGACACTGCAGTGGGAGACCTCCAACGGCGAGTAATAGACGGGCTTCGATGGCAAGAGGCACGTGAAGCACGATGCTGGAAAACTTCAAGGATGAGGTCGTCTAGACATTTCATGGCAATCTAGCTTGCAGTTGGCGCTGATGTGATACAACTAGCAACACGGATTGTAAAAGGCGGCTGGTAGAATTCGAGGATGTGGTCAGCGGTCCCCACAAACATTTAGACAGACGAGGAAGGAATGTTCGACGCCAGGATAGCTTACACAGAGGATGGCCTTAGCAGGAGAAATTACTTTAACCTTGTGGCATCGAGATTTGGTCCATCTGCCGGCTAATTCAGGCACCAAACAAGATGCGTAGGCATTCGGTCATTAAGGTCTTCCTCGGAAACCAAATGCTGCGGGCGTTTTGGGTTGACAGAGAGGTACGAGAGATGAAAGCCTCCTTTTGAGGGGTATATGTGTCGTTCGTGGACGGAGTGTCTTTAATAGCTAAAGGTCTCTGTCAGTATCCATTTACAATGCAGCCCCGACAATGGAATTCCGTTCCATCGCTTGTAATGGGTCTCAAGGTAAACGGGATTCTACTGTGCGGGACCACAGTACAATATCATTGAGTCACTCAGCTAGGAGGCCGAGATTATGAATGCCGGTTATTTGCTGGCTGGTAGATTCTCTAATCAAGATTAACCGATGTTGGTCAGAAGTCTAATAACCGATTTAGATGACTGGTGCTTTGAAACTGACGGTTAAATACAGCACTCATATTAGTTGAGAAGATGAGGCAGCGTGGGTAGCAATTAAGGCCTGACTAAAATAATACGGCCAGTGAGAAATGTGTGGCGATGGGACCAAATGAAAATTGTGAAGCACGGAAACAATAATAATAATAGTCTTTTCTGCCAGTTCACGGGCGTTGTTAGGAAAGGTCAAACGCAAATCCGGCCAGCAGTGAAAAAAAACTCAGGATACAAAAAAATAAAGTTGATGGTGGTTTTTTATAGTTTGGAGGGCTCATGAGCAAAAAAACTGCTGCCTATGAAATGACGACAGTCAATAAAGGGAGGGGTAGCACTGCAACGGATATTATCAGTCGCCAATTCTTTTCATGAAGTTGAGACTGGACCAAAGAGAGGCACTGAAGGACAGCTGTCGCTGCTGGATAGAGAAATTGTCCTTCGTGAGACTGGCCATGGGGATCAGAGACCACGAAAGCCATCGCTACGGTACATTCGATCGATGGATTCAACACCCAGAATTTATGGGAGTTTTGCTGAATGAGCGTAATAGTTCTCTTAAATAAAGGATAATTTTGCAGAGTTTTCACACTACTGGGCAATTTATCCAAAATAGCAGTTGCGTTCACATAAAAGAACCGATGATAGTTAATGGTTCGTGCCAGAGGAAGAAATAAAAAGACCTCACGGTGACTGCTACGTCGAGGGTAGACAAGATGTTTTATAGTAATGAGTGGGTTAACGGTACGATTATAGAAAAGCTTAAATATTAAGGATAGTCTCCTTTGTAATCTACGAAACCACAATGGATCAAGGCCTGTAGGCCGGCAACTTTCTTGGCACGACGAATTCCGGTGTTCCGGGGATAAAACTCTGTTGGTGAAAAATGTCCAACGGGTTCCATCTTCTTCCGCTCAGCAGCACGCATGAGGCTAAATAACAACGAACAGCATTCCAGGTCAGGTCTAACGTACATGTTATAAAGGCACATTCTAATATCGCCGGTTTTAAAATTTCGGAGGGTAAATCTGGTCGTTCTACGTGATTTGGAGACTGTCAGGGCGCGGTGCTCCGAAAGACTGAGGTTCTTGGAGTATGATACACCCAGATTCCTAATAACTTCCGACACGTTTATGTCGTGACCGTCGATACTTAGTTGAGGTTGGTGGTCGTCGCCGGCCACCATGACTGAGCATTTATGCTAAGCAAGAGAAAGGCGTCATGTGCGGAACCACTGGACAAAGGCCTGTAGATCGCTCTTTTGGAGTTAGTTAAGTATTTGCCAGACGAATGTCTAATTAGTACTAAAACCGAGGGATGCATGTACTCCCAGACTATACTGATTACAAAAAACGCACCAAAAGGACGCACGTATACGGTTAATTTTGCCTATATCTAATTCCTCCCAACATATACTAGACCAGAGGCTTGTCAAGGACTGGGGAGATGATCTGTCCAGTTCTCCGGATCGTCAGAGGCGCGTAAGCAGGCCTTCAGCTGGCACCAACAATGGTGAACCAACGACTGAGGAAAGTCTTGACCACCGTTGGAGCAGCGACATCTGGTAAGAGGATAGCTTTCGGCCACCGGGCGAATCAATTTACACAGATGAGGAGATAGGAACAGCTGTAAGACAGGGGCAAGAGGCCTACAATGTCCAGGTGGACGTGACCGGACCGTGTATCCAGAGTGAAGAAGGTGACGATTGCAGCTTTGTTTTATTTTTGAACCTTACTTAGTTGACAGCCGAGACACGCCCTCGTCCATGCTTTCAAGTTTTTGTGCATTTCAGGCTAGAAGAGCGGCTGGAAGCCAGCTTGTCGGTAGCTCGAATCTCTAGGTGAGAAAGGTTGTGCAGGAATGAGATGATATTGCGGCCGCGGGATTTCGGAAAAAAGGGGCGGTGGTAGAGGTGAAGACGTGGAAGATAACGGTGTAGTTGCTAGTAGTCAGTGGCAGGTCCTGGGGTTGGAGTCCACAAAAGTCCTCATCACAGCGAAAACCGACACGGCACTCTTCAGCAGCCCTCCCAGCTAAGTTGATCTCAGGCGAAAGTTGGAGACGTGCGATGGAAGACCTGAACAGTGTGTCAGTCACCTCATTACCTCACCCATCGGTGTGGTGGATGTCTAAAGTGAACCGCGAGATGCGATCTAGTTGGCGAATTTTCGGGGCTGATCTTGTCGGAGTTACACCTGAGATTGAGGAAGGGGCTTGCGGTCCGTAAGTACAGTGAAGTCCCTGCCCTCAGGAAAGTGCCGGAAGTGTTTCACGGCGAGGAAGACAGCAAGCATCTCCTGTCCAGACGTGCTATACCGCGTTTCGGCAGGTGATAACTTCTCGAAGAATAAACTCAGGGGTTGTGTTTAATCTGCAACGTATTGTCGGAGAGCCGCGCCGAATGCAACGTCGGAGACGTCGAGCAGGATTGAGATGTGGACATCGGGAGGTAGATGCGTCAGGAAAGTGGCGTCTGTCAGGGCAGCCTTTGCCGTGCCAAAGGCAGTGGGATTGTCTATGGAGAGCTCGAGCGAACTTCTGGGACCCAGGAGGAGCTCGTTCGTGGCCGGATAGTATTGGTGCCATTTGAGAGGAGCCGGCGTTAGAGATTCGCCAGGCCGAGACGTCGCTGCGGCTGGAGCTCGGAAGAGGGATAGAAAGTCACATATGGCCGCAACCTTTGCTGGAGTAGCATGTATGCCTTTGAAGTCGACCAGGTGTCCGGAGGACACACTGAAAGCGCACGCCAAGTTGTTGAAGGCGGTCAAACAGCGTAGTAAGATGATACATGTTTTCCTCGGCGGTGGAAGTGACTACTAACATGTCGTCAATATAGGCGTAGACAAACATTAGGTCGCGATTCACTCGGCCTGCAAAACTCTGGTATGTGTTCAGACGGCATGCATAGGAATCCGAGAAACGCAAGAGGGAGTGGTAACGGTTGTCTTCGAAACGTCCTCTGGAGCGATGAGAATCTGGTGGAAGGCACGGACCAGGTCAATCTTCGAGAACACAGACTTGCCGAATAGGACACTGGCAAAATCCTGAATATGTGGGATAGCTTAGTAGTCCGGGACGGTAACGTCCTTCAGGACCCTGTAATCACCGCAGGGGTGCCAGTCATCAGTGACAGTATTTGAAACCATTTGGAGGGACAGGGACCAAAGACTTCAATTGACGAATGTTGTCCATCTGAAGTACAAGCTCGAACTCGGAGTTGGCGGCGGTCAGTTGTGCAGGTGCGAGACAGTGGGGCTGAGAAAACAGGAGAGGCACAGAAGTACGGATGTGATAAAAAACGTCGCGTGGTGGATTCGGGGCGCTGAAGTTGGGACGAGTGAGGCCGGGTTATTTGGAGAAGAGTTACCGAAGGGAACTCACGAGCTCAGGGCCCAGGATGGCGAGCTGACAGGAAGCGTCAGAAGAGGCGATGCCTCGGACAGTGAGGTTGATGGTCTTGTCATATAGACGGGACTGATAGCTATCGACCAAAAGATTAAAAGAGGCGAGGAAATCTGCACCGAAAATGGCATAGGGGATGTCAGAAACGACAAAGACCTAAGGAAAAGGACGTCAGGTGAATGACCTCGGTGTTAGAGGCTGTCCGTTACTGGAGAAAATTTATGACATCGGCCAGCTTGGTGAGCTCAGCATCCAACTGCGAAGGGGGAGGTGCAGGAGGAGGCGAAACTGAAGAAATTGACGACTTGCAAACGCGGTGCACCTCCACTGGCGTTCAGTCATCTGAGGAGGCTGTGAAGACAAAGTATAGCCAGATATGTCGACCTCGTTCAGTTTCCGGTCGAAAGTCTTTCCTGAGAGGGGTTGAATGACCGAAGTGGGACACAGCAGCCAGGTTTATCACCAAAGTTGACACGGTATCGGCCGGGGATATCAGCCCTTGGGCGAAGGCGGAAACGGCTACTGTCTCGGCTAAAAATAAGTCAAGACGAGCCAGCAGAGCGGCGCAGCTGCAAAACGATAACAGCCGCCGACAATCGGGGTACTCGTGCCTTGATCTCGGCCAGGTCAAGAGAGGCTGATACGACCGGAGTTTGTGAGATGTGTGAAATCGTCAAAGAAGACAGACGCTGAACCTCCAAATATGGTCAGCCATTTCAGAAAATTTCCAGACGTAAAGCTCTCATAGGCAGAATCCAAAATCGTTTACACCGATGTTGACAGGCGTTTCAAGAACCTTTCTTTAAAGAACTTACCATTCATAACCATGTTTCCAAGACGAGAACGCATGCGACAGAAAAGATCAGAGGGTATGCGATCGCCCATTACTCCTTCTTTTTACCAGCGCACGTTAGGGCTGACGATCAGGAAGTAAAGTGGGTCGATGAAGCCTGGTGTTAAACTTAGAGTAAACGCATCAGTCGGAGTGGCGCCTCAACTAGCTTGTAGCCTTTAACTATCTATTGAATTATTTTGGCACAGTAAAAGGTACCTTCGATACAAAAAACATGGAGTTATGAAGCTTGTTGACAACATGCTGGGTGAGACGCAGTGACTTCATTATGAGAAATAGCAGCATCTGTGGGTTCCATCGAAGACATCGTTGGAGGCAGAGTCAGAGATAGGATATACAGCACAGAAGAGGTAAACATATCAGAAGGAAAATGGTATACACGTCGATAGCGGAGTTTACCACTGTTGAGAACACAAGAAACACCAATATCGACTAATGAATTGCGAATTTTGACTATAAATCGTATCCACCAGTCGAACTAAGAGCTGCAGGAAAATACCGACAGGCATGTAAAATAAATACTCAAAAGTCTTACGACCTAATCAGGATGCAAGCATATGATGCCAGAGATGATCTACAATGTTGTGTCCACTACGTTAAAATATAAGGGATGGTTAAGAAAAAGGTATGGGATGTCAAAAGAAGAGGAGGCGTTCGCGGGAAGGGAGGTTGTTAGAAGTCTGACGTTTCTAGGTGTTGATTCGTCCACCTATCTCCGGAGACTAGGAAGTCATACGCACAGTTCTCCTCGTATGACCACTTTGTTTGATGTATGGCCTGCCAAGACCGCCTGTGTGACTGCATCCGATCCGCATGTCACCGTGACCTGGGTCGACCCCGCCCTCGTCGGCCGTGGAGATGGTTGACAGTCCCGATTGTTTCCCGTTGAGAAGTTTCGTAAAGTCGGGTAGGGGCAGGCAAATTGATGTGGCGGTTGACAGAGCAGTCTGTGGGCATCCAGGCTTCTTGCACCTGCCTTGTTCTGTGATCATCGTCCCCGCCCACAATTTCAACGACCTCAAATTTGCGTGGCATTGGTTGCTACCTCCGACTTTGGGTCCAACCTTTGCACGGTCAACTAATGCTTGTGCATTCGCGTTTGCAGCCGTCGGCCGTTTTCCCCAACGTAGTTTTACTTCCCGCAGCTGCATTGAAGTTAGTAAAAACGGCCAACATCCCCCGCTTAGGGATCGGGTCCTTTGGTCTCATCCCTTGCCGGTGAATTGTTGAGTCGGGCCTGTGGGTAACGCCCATTCCGAGCGGCGGGAGGGATCCAGCCACGACTTCGGAAACCCCTTTTATGTACGAAATGCTCCGCCTTGATTTTGGCTGAATATGTTCTTCATTCCGTTTCCTTGGTTGCATTTGGCTCTGTTCAGCAAATTTCTGTGGATAGCCGTTAACTCTGAAGAGTTCTTGGAGGAGCTTTATCTCGTCCAGTTTAACGGCCAGCGTGCTACAATGAGTTTCAACTCGTCGGTATAACGTACGTGCACAGATCCGTTTGAGTTACAGTGGGTCATTGCCGTTGTAACTGAGCATTTGCAGCGTGTTCGTCGGTTCTCTGTAGACTGACGTTGCCAGTTTTCCGTCTGGTTGGCGGTAGACGAGAAAAGGGCGATGTTCATACAACAAGGCAGGTGCAAGAAGCCTGGATGCCCACAGACTGCTCTGTCAACCGCCACATCAATTTGCCTGCCCCTACCCGACTTTACGAAACTTCTCAACGGGAAACTATGAGATTAATCCACTAGTTGGGCACAGCGAGTAGGCTACCCAGGAAACGAAAATAGCAGTATCCCAACAGTTACAAACTAATAAATAAGAACAAAGTCGTCAGCAGGTAAAAGTGCACGTGCGTGTTCTTTGTCTTATTCAAAGTTGTTTCAAAGCGTATTGTAACTGATTAAAACAAAACATATTTAAATGTCACTACAATACTCCCCCTCCTAGGAGAATGGAGTTCAAAAAAATATTGTTAATAGAAGGAAAATGTGGGAGTGTTATGCATATTGTACAAGTTGATAACGGTCGGGAAAACGGACATGACGACCGCTGCGCGTAAGGGGAGCAGTCTGTGGGATAAGGGAAGACGCGGGGTTATTGGGCGTAAATGGAGTCTGGGAAATAGCAAGTGGCAATGTGCCAAGTGGGGGTTGTTCGGTTGGAGAAGTTGGAAGAGGCTCGGTATAAGCCGCCTTCAAGCGATCGATTGAGACCACGTCGGTGCGGCCTCCACGGTCAATTGTAAAGTGCTTGTCTTTGCGCGATAGTACTCGAAATGGGCCATCATAGGGCTGTTGTAGTGGCCGGCGAACGCTATCTACGCGGACAAATACAAAAGAGCATGTTAGTAAGTTCGGGTCGACGTACGACTTACTTGTTGAAGGACGTGGAGGAGTGGCTCGAAGATGAG